ACTGCACACATTCCAGGCTAGGGTGTGGTATGTACTACGGTCCTGAGTTATCACTATCTATTGTTCTCTCAGCCTTTGTTCATATTTAATAACGAACTTCTGAATCCAGTAGGAGGTGAGGGCTGCTGCCTGCCTCAGGCTCTGACCTGATTCTATTTCCACAGTGTAAATCTTCCCACTTGAAGTCAACTTTACAGCGGGGGGAGGACAGGCCACGGCTGACTGTGGATGCAAGGACACAGTTCTGTGGGCTAGCCTGAGCAATTCTTTGTGTCCCTGTAGAATACTTTGTCCTGGGGCACAGCCACAGTGGCTACCTGCTGATACAGTACCAACTCCTATTGACACCTGCCTGCTGAGTTTTCTTTCCACACATCTGCTTTCAGTGCCTCTGTGGTACCAGGTCTCGTGCCCATATTTAAGTGTGGTACTCCGCTGAGGTCTTCTATGGTTAGTGATAAAAGCTCCCCACATAGGTTGGCTGAATAGAACTGGAGGCTTATCATCCCTCTGGCCCACCTGTCTTTGACACCTGTCTCATCCCTGGGATGACATTGATTTGTGACTCTTCTAGTAAATACAGTCAACTCATCAAAGGGATGAACAAAAGTGGCTGTGTGCGCTTAGGCATGCTGGGATAAGAACCTGGGGCTTAGAAACGAGGCCACCAAGCTGACTGACCTCTTCCACAAAACCCCAGGCTCAAAAGGCACTGACTGGGTCTGTTAAAACCTGTCCTCCCAACAAGAACAGCTGGCTTGAAAAAAAAGAAAAGAAAAAGAAAAAACGATGCTACTCCCTGGTTTGAATCAAAAGCTAGTCAGACTAAGGGGCATGGTGAGAGGGAACCACGGCCACTCACGGGCACAGCTTTCATATATGAAGCAGGCTGGATCTTGGAGAGACAGCCCAACAAGACACATGTTCTCAGAGGGCTAAGGCTCTCTGTCTCGAGACATGACTCCACGAGATTGTTCCCCCATTCTGTCCTGTGGACCCCACCAGGTCACCTAGTCTTGTGGCTCATGTCCCCCACCCCATCCATTCTTTCATCGTCTATGGCAACAAGACCCGGTCTCCCTAGATGACCAAGTTTAGACTATGAAAGGTGGTGGGTGAGACTTCCGGAAAGTTGCCCTAAAGAGACCCTCATTCCTGAGGTAGATGAGCTCCTCTCTCAGCGCTATGACAGAATACCTGACAAAGGCCACTGAAGGAAGTTTATTTGGGCTCATAGTTCACCACGGTGAGAAGGCATGGCAGCAGGAGCTGGCCACATTGTGTTCAGTCAGGAAGTGGAGACTCCGAGATGAATCCTGGTGCTCAGCTTACTTCCTCTGTGTAGGATCCCAACCCATGGGATGGTATTGCCCACACTCGAGGCAGGTACTCCCATCCCAGTTAACCCAGTCTAGAAACTCCCTCCCAGACACGCCCTAGGGTTTGTCTCCTAAGTGACTCTAGATCCCATCAAGGTGATAACTAGCATTGACAGGAGGGCACCCTGAGAACCAAACAATAAGAAAGAGACAATTCCCTGCATCACAGAGCCCAGACCTAGCCCTAGATGCTACCTTGGTCATAAGTAATGCAGTTCTTGTCTGCTGGGTTGTCTGTGGCCCTTCTCAATAGGACAATAATCCCAACCAACCAGATTGGCCTTCATATGGAGCTGAAGGGGGACAACCCCCATCAGGACAGCATGTGAGGTGTGGGCTAGTATCAGGAGCCCGGATGAGTACTGCCCCATAGAGCGCCCCTGTGTAAATATGAGTTTGCAGAAACACGAGGGCAAGGGGGGGAAAGGTGTGTTGTAGATACAATGCTATTCTACATTGTAACTTTATATCATTTAGCTTTACTGAGGTCTAATTGATCAAAATGTATCTGTCTATCCACAGTATAGTTTTGATACTGTATACAGGGATATCCAATTATATACAAAGTAACAGGTTTTGAAGAACACCCCTAAAGGGCAGCTAGAAGGAATTTTTATTCCTATGGGAAGTTGTATCCCACCCTGAGGTGGAGGGAGGGGAAAGAACCATAGCGGCATTTTCCTCTGACTTTCTGCCACGCCCCAGCACATTCTAGGGTCTAAAACATGTTGAGTGCTTACTAGTACCTGTAGAGTTAGTGGATTTTCTGCTGGCCTCTGAGACCTTCCTTAATTCAAATACAACTCCTTCAGCAAGACTCAGGAGCCAGGTACCTCCAGCTGGCCCAGAAAGGGGAAGTATCAATGAGTCACACAGAACAAGAGGGCCAGGGTGGACCCTGGCAGGCCTGGCGCAGGGCAGTAAGCCACACCACAGAGGGGTTCCTCTGGCCTGTTTCATTCTGTATGGTTCACTCACTCCTGGGCCATTATCACTTCCAACTCAGCTCAAGGGACAGCATTTCTAGGTGGTCCTGGGGCCTGCCTCACCTGTGGCTCCCAGCCCATCCCGGGCCACAATCTTCTTTCCAGTTCATGGATGTAGGTGGACACACCATTTGTCGACACACCAGCTTAGGGGGCAGAGAGACAGCTACTGTCCCCAGCAAGAGAGGACAAAGTCTCTCTCTATGGAACTATCTGGAATGAGGCTCTCTTAGTTAGGGCTTCTATTGCTGTGATAAAAGACCACAACAGACACAACTTGGGGAGGAAGGGGTTTATTTCAATTTACACTTCCACAGCACAATCCATCACTGAGGGACGTCGGGACAGGAACTGATACAGCTCCGAAACCTCAAGGCAAGAACTGATGCAGAGGCCCAGGAGGGCGCTGCTTAGTGGCTTGCTCAGCTGCCTTCCACCAGCGCTCGGGACCACCAACCCAGGGCAGCACCGCTCACAGCAAGCTGGGCTCTTCCACATCCTTCATCAATCAAGAAAATGTACCGCTAAGTTGCCCACAGGTAAATCTGGTGAGGGAATTTTCTCAACTGAGGTTCCTTCTTCCAGAATGACTGTAGCTTGTGTCAAATTGACATAAAGCCAGCACAGGGAGGTTGGGCTCTGTCATCCTGGAAGGCACGTCACCCAGCGAAAGGACAGTGGGTGACTGCCGCTGTGACCCCAGCATCCCCTGATAGAATAGCAATGTGTGTGGATCGGTAAAGGGCTTGGAGATAAACCACTCCAGAGACAGTCAGGGAACAGCGTCTGCTTTAAGGCACGTGAACAACCACTTACATAGTAGAAACCTCTAACTGTGATAGGTTAGCACGTTACCTCGGACTGGAAACCGAAATGCTCACACCACCAGGTGTGAATACACCCTATGTGGAAGAAGCGCATTAAAGGAGATGCAGAGGTGTGCAGACTCATCCACAGGCCAGCTACCTGCTACTCACGCAACTTCAGAATTCAGGGAGCTTGATGCGCTATGCTTCAGTGTGCCAAGTAGGCTGGCCACCGGGTCATGACTGCATTTCCTTCTACAGGCAACCAGAGGACGTGCATGTTCAATAACAGTGATGTGGATAGGGCTGGGGATGAGCCATGTAATGGAAACTTGTGAGCTCTGGTTCCCAGGGCACCTCAGGGCTCCGGGGACCTGTCAGAGATGGGTCTTATTATAAGAGGCAAAGTTAGCAAGGTCCTCGCTGGCTCCTAACCCAACAAAGCTAGGGGTCTCATGAGAAAAGAAAGAAACATGTGTGCCAAGGAAAGGCCACCAGAGACCATAGCAGGAGGCTTCCACTGCAAGCCAAGGAGGAAATCTTCAGAAAAAAAAAAATCATCAGGCCTTGGCCTTGAGGTCTGGGACCACAGGGATATGGGGGGGGGGGCTGCTTCCGTACCCATATCTTCGGTCTTCCACTTTTCTCACAGTAGAGGCGAGGGAGATCATCCAAGAAGAGAAAGGCACAGAGCCCACAGGGAACCAGGGGACTGTGGCCCAAGGGGGACAGTGTTGGACCCAAGAATATCCCAGAAAGGGCTACAGGGTTGAGGGAGCTGCTTCTTCTACCTGCTGCCCACATGGGGGGACTTACGCCACCAAGGCAAGAGACCCAGAGGAGGTGATGGTGGCAAGGCCTGGACATAATCAGGAGGAGCTGGTGGGTGGCTGAAGTCCCTGTGGTCTGTCCTCTACTTCCCAATAGCTTCTGGTTACAAAACCCATGGCAGACTGCAGTGGCCGAAGCTATCATAGGCTGGTAAGAACGTGTCCAAACACCCAACTGCGGTGGAGGCGTGTTGGGACAAGGGTCTGAGCGTGCACAGGATGATAAAGACAGGATGACATAAATCCTCATGTCCACCTGCTTCTGGCCTGGGCACATGGGAAGGACACATAATCATAGTCCTAGACACACAGAGTGCTAGGGCTATTATGGGGTGGTGTGGGCTCCTCCACTCTCAGTAGTGTGACCATAGCCTCAGGCCACAATTGTAACAAGAAACCACACTAGCCAAGTGCTCCCTAGTCTCGTGTAACATTCACAGGGACCCACAAAGTGCACCAATGTCAAGGGCAGCCAGCTGGCATTGATCCATCTCCTTGGTAACAGGGCACCACATTCTCCAGGTGAGTATGTGCCAAACACTCTGTGTGCTTCCAAGCACCACTGTAGCCACGAGTGGCCCCGCAACAAGGTGCTGGCTACAGAGCTGACAGGGCCTCTGCTTCCTTCCAGTTATACCATTAGGAACCTCAGGAGTCACACTGGGTGGCCAGGCGACCATGAAGAGGAAAGTATAGGCTGGGGATAGGAGACTGGGATCCTAAGGCTGCTTTTGTCTGTAGGGACTCATGGGGACAGACAACACTTGATCATTTAGGTTTTCTATATCAAAGGACACAGGATTCACCCTAGAGAAGAAAGTGCTGTTTTTATTGCTGAAGACCGAGGCTCTTGCTCTAAGACCACCCGCTGGACCTTGCTGGATGCTGTACCAGCCAGGCAGCAGGGACCATCTGGCAGTCAGTCTTTGGGTAGGATAAACCCTGCTGAACTTTAGGACGCCAGCTAGTCCCTCCCAGGCACAAAAGTTTAACCACGGCTGCAGAATAGAACGTAGGTTTATTTGTAGTAAAAACCGTAGTCTGGGGAGGAAAACCCATTGGCAAATGTACAATTGTTCCATTGGGGGTGCTGCTGACTGTGGGACCCCCTCATCCCTGACTTGCATGCATTGTACTGCAAATGTTCACAGCTGATCTCAGGCCCCCAGCCCTCAGCCCTCAAATGGTGTCCAGTCTCCTGCAGAGGCACCTGTGTACCAGCTTGCCCAGCCTTCCCATCACCCTGCCCAGTGTGGCGCAAAAACAAAAAAAAAACTAAACCAAACACAAACGTCAAAACAAACACAAAACACTCACAAAACCAGGGCTCTAGATTACTCTTTTTCTCAGTGTCCTTCATTATCATGACTTATATCATGACAAACTAAAATATACATCATTTTGCTATTATAGAATCTCTTATTCACAGATATATAATGGGAGATTTCGATGAAATAATTACAACTTTCCCCTCCCCTTTAAAACACAAACAGGCAAAACAAAACATAATAGGACAAAAACAACAACAAACAAACAAAAACCAGAAAAAAACTAAAGCACAAGGGTGTTCTGAGGGCATTCATATGGAAGGGGCTGGCAGAGTCCTCCCCACAGCCTGCGCTGGCACCGGGCAGGCTGGGCCGAGGAGCCGGGCAAAGTGGCCTGTGCCCCCGACTCTCTGCAAGCCCCCTGCTCCCACACCAGCTTCTCATGGCCCGAGCCTTTCCAGGGTGTCTCACTCTCTGTTGCTCCCCGTCTTCTGAGTTCCTAGGTGCCTCCCTCCACATCCCAGCAAGCTGTGTGTGGGCACGAAGCTGGAGGCCACGAGGCCAACGCTGGAAAATAGCCCCAGGTGCAGGTCCCGGCCCCATTCCAGCAGAGACAATGTCTCAAACCCTAGCCTTGGTTCTCCTCATCCAGGATTGTGCAGCAAGATGGAGGGAGAAAACGGGAGTCAATGGCTAGGAAGCACCAGGAGAGAGGAGGGGAAAAGGGTGGAGACACCCCAAGAGCACTTATTTTGGGTTGGCCTCAAGCCCAGTGTGTGGGCTGCAGGATCTTTGTGGGGACACCTGGTGAGGGCTAGTGCAAAGGCCAGCAGACCCCTAGGGACCATGGTTTGGAATGCAGAAGAAGCAAGAGTGCCTCCTGGAGAGAAAAGAGGCAGTTGGAGGAGGAGATCCTGGTTCTCTCCCCTGCCCTTTGGGGTTCACTGATGTGTCCCCTGGCAGCAGGGCAGGGAAGACCTCAGGAAAGAGGCTTCGGAGCAAAGAGCAGTACCACTGATTCGGGGTGGGATGGGGGTGGGTCAGCAATGTCATCTTTCCAAAGGCCCCTCCTGAAAGAGGGACCCTGCCCAGATAGCACCCAGCAGGACCCTGACTTGTGGGGAAGGGAGGCAGTCAGAGAAATCTGCAGAGCCAGCATGACCCGGTGGCCCCTGTGCAAACTCTCTGACCCTGCACCCCAGATGGGCCTAGTGTGTGCTACAGCATGGTCTGGTCCTGCCTGCCTCCTGAGACCTGACACCCACTCTAGAGAGCAGCAGCAAAGACAGGCAGATCAGTGCAGGGCCGAGCAGACGGGGCTGGGAAGGGCCCCCTCTGCTGTCCCCAGCTCTCCCTGGCACACCTGAACACCTAAACCAGAGGGGCAGGCCGTGTCTTCTGACCTTGGCTGTCATCCACACCCACCTGGCCACAGCGGCCCCAAGTTCCCCTCTCCTTGGTGCTCTGGGTGTGGCCAGCACAGGTTTCCTCTATGTACAAGGAATGTACCCAGGGACGGGCCACCCCGGGCAGGTGACGGTGGAACACCTTCCCCATCCCTGTGGGCCATAACAGCTGCAGGCTTAGCAGGCAGTTCCCAGAACCATGGAGAAGCCAGAGGTGGACTTCAGAGCTGGGGTGATTCCCAAGAACATCCGTGAGTCCTGGCCAGGTCTTGCCCTCACTGGACGCCCTCCTCTTCCACGTATGTCGAAGGAAACCAACCAATCTGAAAGAGAGGGCAGTGATGTCATGTCTGCATGTGTGTGCACATGGCAAGAAGGTGTGTGTTAGGGCAGGGACAGGAAGTGCTTAGGGAGATGAGAACCCCCCCCCCTAAAAGCCAGAGATCTTAACCAGGTCTCAGTGAGCCTTGAAGAGAGACTGAGAGCCTGGACCTAATTCATGATCTACCTATGAGAAAGATGTCAGACCCTACTGAGAACATTGAATCTCCCCACATCTCTTGAGACACAACCTGGCTTTCCGCCATGAGTGTTATGAAAATCAAAAACAAACACAGGTAGCAGATAGGAGTCCTGGGCCAGAATGGAAAGAGCTACCCCATATAGTTAGTAAGAGCTACCCCGTATAGTTAGTAAGAGCTACCCCATATAGTTAGTAAGAGCTACCCCGTATAGTTAGTAAGAGCTACCCCATATAGTTAGTAAGAACTACCCCATATAGTTAGTAAGAACTACCCCATACAGTTAGTAAGAGCTACCCCATATAGTTAGGAAACTGGTGAGAGGGCAGACATTCCTTCCAGAAAACAGGAGTCAACAAAGAAGCCCTAGGCCAGAAGCTGGATGCGGTGACGCCCATCCACAACCCCAGCATTCAGACTAAGGATCGCCCTGAGTTCAAGGCCAGCCATGCCTTTTCAGTGAGACCCTGGCTTCAAAAATAAAACAAAACTAACCAATAGACAAAATAGGAAGAAGGGAAAAAGAGGGGAAAAACCCTAGAATCAAAAGATACAATGACTAGAAAGACTCTGAAAGGAGTAACAACAGGTTAGACAGGGAGCAGCAGGACTAACAATAGGTTAATCCAGGATAGAATGCAGATGGAAAAGGAAAGAGAGGAACCTGGCAGATGGACTCTCAATCAAGTTCAAAGTTAATTCCACAGATAATGAGAACCTGGACCTGGACACTCCAATCAGAACCCATCCTAGCTAGATCTCAGAGGACAAGCCTTGGTTAAGGCAGTTTCCAGACCAGACAGATGTGTCCGCGGGACTGTCTGGATTGCTAGTTGATGTAGGAGAGTTCCGCCCACTGTGGGCAACACCATCCCCTAGGCAGGGCATCCTGAGACAGGTAAGATCAAAGAAGCCCTTTCCTCCCCTAAGCTGGTTTTGGTCAGTGTTTTATCACAGCTGCAGAAGCACAGGACAGGTGCTGTGACTGACATTGGTGAATGACAGTCCTGTGTGCACCACCATGAAGGTGCAGCCTCTGTAGAAACAGAAAACCTAACAATGGGGTAAAGTAACTGTCTTCTCTTCAAGAAATGTTACAAGCCATATATGACCAAGAGAAACTGAGGAACGGTTCAATTAAGATGATGGCCATGGCGAGTAGTCCATGTATCCAGGAAACAACAGCAAGAAGAAAGGTAATTGAGAAATTCAGTGAAATTAGAAAATTTGACTACAGATCAGAGAACTGTATTATGTCAAAGGAGAAAGGCCTTGACTTCAGGAAATATTAATGAGTAAAAAAATGTCATTTGGGCAATTACTTTCAAATACTAAAAAGTATAAGATACATGACAACACCATACAAAAACTGGGAGGAAAATAATTTATAATTCAAGGCTGTGAATTAAAAATTCACACTTTCCCAGCGGTAAAAGTCATCACCGCAGGGACTCTATATAGTCCAAGAGCACCTGCAACCACCAGGATATTAGCGCATGTGGTAAAAGGGTATATAACTAAAACACCCATCATGAGGAGGGGAAATGAAATAGAAAATATATGGGTTAACCCAAAAGTTGCTCAGAAAGGAGAGGGGAACGACTGACCGACAATAAGCAACAAGATGTTGGTCTTACAAATGAATAGCCCACTATTTATACTAAATGTAAATGGACTACATAGGCCTACTAAAGGGCAAAGACTGCCACATTAGATCCACTTTGAGAATTCCAACTGGTTATAAGAAACTTATCTCAAGAAAGAAAGAAAGAAAGAAAGAAAGAAAGAAAGAAAGAAAGAAAGAAAGAAAGAAAGAAAGAAAGAAACTTATCTCAAGTACTAGGAAAGAGAAAAATCAACCATAATAGGAAAGAGTGTGGGGAGGTGGTTAGAAAAGCACCCACTCAAGGAAAACTGCTGCCTCCTCTGTCAAAAGATAGGTTCAGCAGTAAAACTGCCAGAAATAAAGGGGCATTCCACAATGACAGCAGGTTAACTCAACAAGAGCTACTCACAAAAGCTCAAACTAGTTATTTTCAAATTGTGCTAAGGAATTGCCTGGACCTGGTGAGGGCCCCAGCTGCTTCCAAGACAACCGGCATGGGCCTGCTTTCAGAGCCAGCCCTCAAAGTCGCTGCTATGACTTAATTGCCTTCACTCTTTTGAAGGGCAACTGGGTATAAGTGAACACATCTGGGGCCTGCAACACAGATGCCAAGCTCAGAGGTAACAGAATGGCTACTGCTACCAGCTGCAGAACGTTCAGCAGGGGAGCCGAGGCTGCCCAGCTCTCTGCAGACAAGTACATTTGTCTGTGGGTACCTGCAATCCCAAAAACACTCAGTTTTCCTACTGGTGGCACATGGAACTCTCTGCCTTTCCAAAAGGTTGCTCAGAGACCTGGGTCAAAGCCAGTGGCTCTAGATGGGTCTTGGGATAGAGAGGGCTTTTTGCAGGTCTCTAGGGGAAAGAGTCTGAGGGAACCACCTGGCAGTCATTGGCAACAGGAGGAAGGGATAAGGTGGATAGGACCTGATGGGTCCCTGTTGCTTCTCTACCTGCAAGTGACCAGAAGACTGTATATAAAACCTGTTCCTGAGTGACCATAAAGGCAGAGAAACAGGGTCAGACATAGTACAGGGTCTATGGGGTCTGGATCACAGTGAACATCTGGATTCGCAGTCCTCCCCCCGACCCCTGTGACATCAGGGAGAGAGCTCAGACACAGTGTGCCTAGAACAAGGCTAAGCATGGTCGAGGCTCTAGAATAGCTTGTCTGAGTCCAACTGGGTCAGAGGAGGCACTGGGCCTCTTCACGAAGCCCTCTGGCCAGGCAAGTTACTCACCCGTCCGTTTGTCTCGCCTTTCCACCAGCCCTGGTCCCCGCCGATTCGGCTGTAGATCTTTACCACGTCGCCTTCCCTCAGCGACAGCTCCCGCATGTCCCGTGCAGCGAAGTTGTACCTGGCCACAGCTGTGCCAATGACCCGCGGCGTGAACACTATTGGGGCAGACAGGGTGGGACATCACACAACCGCAGGAGCTGCTCAGTCAGGGCTCAGAGGCCCTCGGACCGAGCTAGGTCTCGTCCCAAGTACATAGAGTCTGGCTTTGTACCCACAGCCAGAAGAAGGTCTTTGGAGGGACACATTAGCCTCCAGTTCAGAGCCCTTCAAACCTTGGTGGCTTTGGGTATATAGACACCCGTGCATGCACTAGAAAGGGTTGGAGCTATCACCACCCATGCTGGGCAGCTATCACAGGCAACAGGCATGTCACTGTTGAACAGAGCAGGCACCCACATCTTGACCACTACAGCCTGTGGTTCCCCCATCCTAGATCTCCAAACTAGACTGGAAGCCCCCTGAACTGGTTTGGCCCAGAACCCAGAAAGTCCCGTGGAACAGGTTGACAATGGCAGCGAGTGAGGGGACACAGCCACACACAGCAGGGCTTTGACTCTGGCAGCAGAACGCATGCTGTACCAAGGCTGACCGCAGCCCCTTCTTCTGCACCCATTCCATTCCTACGGCAGCTGTCAAGGACACAGAGCAGTTGCCAGCTCCGCCCATCCTATTTCCCACAACCAGAGGCAAAGCTCCCAATGGCTGTGAAGGGTAACAGCTGAGGAGGCAGGGAAGTAGCTATCAGCGTGACCAGGAAAGAGCCCTGCCTAAAGTGTCCTCCTGTGCAGCAGCCTCGGTGGCCCTGATTCCCAGCCCCCTCCCCACCCAGCACCGGGCTGCACAGCCAGGGGGACCCATCAGGCTGGGCCCTGAGCAGTAGAGGTACCTGACCAGAAGGGAGCGGAGGGGCCCTGAGGGGCAAAGCTGAGGCCCTGAGGACTGAGAAAAGAAAAGTTGTAGGAGGCGCAGGAAGCTGCAAAGAGGCAAGAGAAAGCATAAGACAGAAGGCAGGACGCTGATGGCCGCGGAGCACAGGGGATGCCAGGCTCTACCTCAGGAGGGCACCAGGAAGGGCAGGGACCTAGCATAGGCACAGCTAGACCACTGCTTGCTCTTCACCTATGTCTTGAAAAGACAATTGGGGGGTGGGGGGTGGCTGGAGAGATGGCTCAGTGGTTAAGAGCACTGGCTGCTCTTCCAGAGGACCTGAGTTCAATTCCCAGCAACCACATGGTGGTTCACAACCATCTATAATGAGATCTAGCGCCCTCCTCTGGCATGTGGGCATACATGGAGGCAGAATGTTGTATACATAATAAATAAATAAATCTTTAAAAAAGAAAAGACAATGGGGCCCACTGCCATAGAGGCTGGCAACCCTCTGATTGTCTGCTCTGTCTGGAGTAGGGGAGGAGAGGTCTCAGGGCTCTGCAGGTCCCTGTAGACCAGAGACTTGGCTTACTTAAGGCAAAGAGCTCTGAGCTGGAAGCCAAATGCTCTGGCCCTCTGTCTGTCCCAAGGTCCAGGTTGTGCCCCTGTCTTCTGCTTTGGAGTCCCCACTTTAGGCAGATAGCTGGCTCGCACATCCCAGGCCCCAGGGCACCCTGGGAGGGATCTGCTCAGATCCCACCCTACTGCTTCTCACTACTGTCAGCTCCAAGCACAGGCATCAGGAGCCAGAGGGGCAGTGCAGGCCCCATCTGCTACACGAAATGGGAAGGGGCATGGGCCAGCAGCAGTGACAGACGAGGTAGGCCGGGTCCACGCTCAGGGATGGGGGCAACAACTCTCGACCCAGATGGACAGGGAGCATCTTGGCCCTGGGAAGTGGCCTGGCTGAATAACCCTGGGCCCAGACATTACCTGAAGACCGGCTTGAGGTCCTGGTGGTGGCGCGCTCCCGAGACTTGTAGGGGAACTTGAGCGTAGTGTCCAACTGCTTGAAGCTTTCTTTGAGTGAGTGGCACTGATAATACTCCACCAGCTCCTGCAGGGGGTGCACGCTCACCAACGGCTGGAGAATCAGGAGCCCTCCCACCTCCTGGGCTCCTCAGAGAGCCCCTCACTCCAGCCCAGTCCAGCTAGGATGGTCAGTGCCTCAAAGACTTCTCCCTCAGCTTTAGTGATCCCAAATGCTCTGGAAGGAATGCCAAGGTTGGAGGACAAACTGCTGAGTGCAGGCACACCTGCAGGTCAATGCTATGAGGACAGTACCAGGGAGAGGACTGGGCAACCATGAATGATGGCCACATGAAGAGAGGCATCGTGCCTTTGTAAGAGTCCCATCAACAGTGGCCTGGCTGCCCCGGGAGAGGCACCTAGAGCCTCACCTGACGGTACATGTTGGCTTTGGGTTGAGAATGGGATTTTAGGCACCTTCTGTTTAACTTTGCGTTTTCCCATGGGCCACAGAGGGGAAAGGAAAGCTCCAGCGTCCTACCAGAGGACAGTGTTTTTGATTAAAAGAAATCTAGGGCCAGGTGTGGTGGCGCAGGCCTTTAATCCCAGCATTAGGAAGGCAGAGGCAGGCGGATCTTTGAGTTTAAGGGCAGCCTTACCTCCAAAAACAAAGAGAAAGAGCTGAGGTTGAGGTTGGGCCCAATTGTAGGGCAATTGCCTAAAGTGTGTGAGGCCCTGGGCTCCACATTGGTACCGAAAAGGGGATGGGGTGGAGGGAAGGAATACCAGAAACATTATCATGTCACTGTAAGGAACACTACGCCTTCCACTTCATTATGGCGGGGCTCAAAGAGGTGGAGAGACTAGGGTTGAGGTTGCTTATAGTCTCCTGTTGGGTGAGAAGCCTCCCTGGGCCTTGGTTTCTGCTCTGTCACGTGACCTAGGGAAGGCTTTGGAGTGTCCCGACTCAGGTACAACATTCTCCCAGCTGTCCCAAGGTACCCGATCAAGTTCCCCTAAATTTTGCCCCCACGCTGCTGAGAATCATCCCTCCCTAGGTAGAGAGAATGGGCCATAGGGGAGCAGAACGGCTGTGGAGTGGAGAGGCGTTGTGGCCTCCGCGGCCAGGGGCCGGGGCAGCAGGAGTGCCGGGCACACGTACCAGGAGGCTCTCAAACTTCTTGGCTTCGGTGATGTGGATCCAGTTGTCCTTCTCCACCACCTTGATGTGCTTCACCTCGTCATTGAACCTGGACGGACACGGCCCAGTGGTTACTCCAGATCTGTTCCAGGGGAATCCTGGCCCAAACCTCTGTGCCACCTCTGCAGTCACTCCAGGCCAGCCGTTTCTCCAGCACTCCATCGGGGCAGATCTGGGACCTAGCCCAGCGCTCTCCCTGACTGCTTGAAGTCCATACTCCAGAGTCCCCACTACCAACTCACTCCTCTCCTCCCTTCCCACCACCCTCTGCAGGTTTCTGCTGCCTCCAGGCTAGGGCTTTGGCTCACTGGCTTTGGACACCAGGAGATCCCCCTTCTCCCTGGAAGCAGCGCACACTGCCCTGATCTCAGTCTCTAACATCCTCCAGGCTGCTCCAGAAGCACAGAGTGCAAGTCCACTATGGCTCAAAGACAGCGGACCCCGCCCTCATCCATCACTGTCTTTAGTTCAAGTGTTCCCAACCTAGAGAGCCTTGGGGGAGGCTCTTCTGAAAGTCACCCCAAGCCATGTCAGGCATCATGGCCAAAGACATCACACGGACAGAAAACTGGAGCCAGTATCCCGATGACTGTGGGTGTAGGAAGGCAGTCAGTGAAGCAAGAGAACCCATCTCCCCATCCCGTGTATATCTATCTGTTCAGAAACGGAACATGTAACACGGACTAGGCACCTTGGCCAGGGCTGAGGGCTGAAGAAACATTCCAGGAATGTCTAGGAATACAAGGTTGGTTCAATACCCTGCAATCAGCTAGAGCAAAAACTGACTAATGAGTAATCAAGCTGCCGGGTAACCAGTCTCCCACTCCACCGGGCCTTTGCAGGCACCTAGCTGTGTCACCTGGACTGAATGTGTGCTGTGAGCCTCATCAATAGGATCCCCACAGTGCTGTCCTGAAGGCCAGGCATACACAAGACACAGTGGACACTCCTATGAGGTGGGTGTGACGTCTACCAGGTCATTACGTGGGGTTGGCTATGCATGTCTTAACCCTGTAACACCTAATAACTTGTGCCCCTGGGTGTCCTGTGCTGAGGAAAATGAACTGCCAGGTTTTTTTTTTATTTCATTTTGTTTATCTGAGGAAAGATGCCCAGAACAAGGGCCTGTGGTCTAAGCTACAAGGCTGTCATGGTCACTGCTGGAGTTCTCCAAGGGTCCCCAGATGCCACAAAAGAACATGATGGGTACATGCATCCTACCTAAGACTCCCTGGACAGGCAGCCAGTACATCCTTGGCAACACCTCCTAGTGTCCCACCAGTTCGCCTGTGTCTGAAAAACTCTCCCTCCGCGACCCACGTGGCCATGGAGTTGTGTCTAGTGTAGCCAGCACATGCAAGGAGTCCCGACGGCTAGCATGTGTTCTCTGCCGCTCCCTCGCCCAAGATTTTCTAGCCTGAACATTGGAGAAGACCCACTCCATCCCCTCAATAACAGGGGGGGGGGGGGGGGGGGAGACAGACGGACAGTCCTAGGCTTACTTGATGCTGATGGCGAAGCGCTCAGCCTCGGCTGGACGCTCTCTGATGAGGTAGGTCCCGCTGGGATGAGACTTGAGCAGGTTGTCCGTCTGCTGCCGTTCCATGTTGCCAGCAAACCTGGGGTCGGGAAATCAGAGCTGTGACACATTGCTGAGGAGGTGGTGGCCTTGGTGTGTACATTGTCACCTGTCTCGGACTTTACTCCTTGTCTGAACTTTAACCTTTGAGGTGAGGAGATACGCGACTGATGAGGAGTTTGTGGCCATGTCCTGACCAGAGCACAATGTGGGGAACAGCACCTTAGGTCAAGAATACAAGGATATCTGAGAAAGATGTCACTGGGGAGAGAGACAAAAGTGCCACAGCCAGGCAGGGGGACTGTTCGAAGCACAAACTTCTACCAGACCCCCTTTTTCTAAATTGTTTTCACTACTTGAAGTAATGACGTGGCATCTTGGGGAGACACTCTGGAGACGGCCAGCGTCCATGCAGAATGAGATCTGAGCAAAACCAGGCCGTTCCCACCATCAAAAAAAGGTGGTCAGGTTGGTCACCTCAGCAAAGCAATCCCATGCTCCCACAATGTGACACCATGCGCCTAGTGTTCAGCAATGCTGAACAACCAAGGTAGATCTGCGGCTAATAAATCAAATCTCTTGGGGGGGGTCGGGGAGAGGGGTCACTTTCTTTAGTAGTAGCCACTGAAAGGTTGCCCACACTCTGGTTATAAACTCCGAGGGTCGCACACACTATGAAAGTGGGAGGTGCCAGCTGGGGAGACGCTGGGGAGCCGAGGAGTGGGGGAGGTAACATGACTAGAATTCACCAGACACGTCTGAGATTGTCAGAGAATGAAAACATAACTCAGACACCGAAGCAACTGTGGTGGATATTCTTGAGTGTCAGCGCGAGTCACCACCGTGGGAACAAGTCTCTGAGGTCTCAGGGGTGGTCTCCATTAAGCTAATTGAGGTGGGAAGCCCCAGGCTCCGTGCGGGTGGGGCACAGTCCCAGGGGATGGGTTCTCAGGCTGAATAAAAAGAAAAGCAAGCTGAGCCAGCATTTGCTCATCGCTCTGCTTCCTGATCATGGCTGCTTCCCCATGGCGTACTGTACCCCGGAACTAAATAACCCTTTCCTTCCTTAAGTGGTTGTGCCAGGTAGTTTGCACAGTAAAACAAATAAAGACTCCATCGAGGGAAAGCCCCATGATCTCTATGACATCCATCATTCGCTACCTGCAGGGCAGGGCAGGGTGGGCATGCACCCACAGGCCCAGTGGGCTTCCTAGAGAGATGCAATAGACAGACAACAGTGAGGGGCTGGGAGGGGACAAAGACACAGGAAGCTGTGCAGACACATGAGGTCTGGGGACAGAGGACCGAATGGGGAATGAGCCCCTTCTGGGGTTAGAAGTGTGTGCTGCCATGCGGGGCTATGCGTCTTTGAGGAGTAGTTCTAGGCACTGGACACAGCAGGGACAGAGTCAATAGGCCAAGACTCACGTGACCTGTGACCATACCCAAACATCCACCTTTATCCTCCCATGTAACCCAGCTTCTCTTCTCACCAAAGGCATGATTACAAACCACAGATACATCAGCTCTACAGCTTACATAAAGAAGCCCAGTGAAGCCTGCATAGGAAAGGGCTCATGACCACAAACACTGGAGCCTACGTGTCTGCTTTAGAGACAGGGAGAGAGCCAAGGTAGGGCTCAGTTTCCCCCCCGCTCACAGGCTTACAGGGCCACACCCTATGGCACAGGGGCCTCCAAATGCCCGAGTCTGCTGCCCACAATCCACTTACCAGGGGTATGCAGTGTAATCAATCTCCCGGGATGGCGGGCGGCCAATAGGTGGCTAGGGACAGAACACAGGTGCATTAATGTCCCCTGGGGCATGCAGTAGAGGGGAAGTTTATGAGAAATTCAACCCTGGGACCAGCAGTCTATACTGGGCAATAATTTCAGGTGAACTTAGCCCAGCACCCCTGAACTGTGACATCCCAGGGGCACTTCCAGTTTCCTCTGAGTAGACGTTCAGGACATTGAATGAGAGAATGACTGACTTTCCAGGAAGGCGTGAATGAATGAATGAAATGACTGACTTTCCCAGAAGGCCTGAATGAATGAAATGACTGACTTTCCCGGAAGGTGTGAATGAATGAATGAAATGACTGACTTTCCCAGAAGGCCTGAATGAATGAAATGACTGACTTTCCCGGAAGGCGTGAATGAATGAATGAAATGACTGACTTTCCCGGAAGGCCTGAATGAATGAAATGACTGACTTTCCCGGAAGGTGTGAATGAATGAATGAAATGACTGACTTTCCCAGAAGGCCTGAATGAATGAAATGACTGACTGACTTGCCCGGAAGGCCTGAATGAATGAAATGATTTTCACAAGGCCTGAATGAATAAGGAATCAACAGCAAACTTCATTCCTGGGAGGGAAAGGCTGGAGGCCACAAGAAATCCCCAACAGTGGGCAAGAGGTGACCACATTCAGGAGGTACTGTGTCCCCCATCCCTGACCCCTGTCCTCCTCTGCTATGGGTTCCCCAGGTCTATCCAAAGAGTTCTTAGTGTTTAATATTTCCTTCAAGCAGCAGAGGAACCATAGGTCTGGGGTGAGCGGGGACGCTTCCTGTCCCAGCTCTTTCAGGGAGAAGGAAGTGTCTCTTTCGCTTTCAGCTGTCCTCGCGGGGAGAGGGGTCAGGTTATTCCAGGCCAGCTCCTTGCTGCTTTGGACCTCAGAGCCAAGAACAGCCTTGTTTGTTGTTCCTAACAAGATCCAGCTCTCAGGCCTTGTGTCTGGGAAGCTTCCTCTTCTCCCAGCTATGAGGAGGCATAAAGAGCCTTCTCCACAGGGGAGGGCAGTTTCAACTGGGTGGATGCCCACTGTGGCGTTAGAATAAGAATGGACCCCTAGGCTCAAAGAGAAGGGAACTATTTGAGAAGGGATAGAAGGTGTGGCCCCGTTGGAGTTAAGTGTGTCATTAGGGATGGGACTAGAGGTTTCAAAGAGCCCACGCCAGGACCCTTGTTTCTGTCTGCTGCAGGATGCAGCTCTCAGCTACTGTTCTAGAGCCATGCACGTCCCTATGCACCCGCCATGCTCCCCACCATGATGATAACGGGCTAAGCCTCTGAATCTGTAAGCAAGCCCCCAATGAAATGCTTTCTTTCCTAAGAGTTTCCCTGGTCATGGGTCTCTTCACAGCAACAGATTAAGACATCCACAGGTCGCTCAAGCTCAGCCCCCAAAACTTCAACAGGCAATAGCACCCCTGCCCACCCTGAGATGAACTGCTCTGCCCCAGATAAGGCTTACTGTGGCCATCCAGCAAGGACAACCTGACTCCTTGGCCCTAGAACTCTGCATTTTGGACCCTGTGATGGAGAAGCTGCAGGAAAAAAGACTCACCCTTCCATCCACTGGGCAGGGCTTCACAGAGGAGCTGGGAAAATACCCTGACTTCCGGGTTTGAACCAGTCGCCCCTGGAGAAAGAAGCAACCAGGAGGCATGAAGGACCCTTGGGTGCCTGTTTCTAGACAGACACAAACCCCAGGCCCGACAAGAGTGTCACCTCTCTGCTGTGACTTAGTCCACCTCACCACCACTTGGAGCAGAGCGGTGAGGATGGTCCCACTTTACAGATAAACACCGACAACACAACAGCCAAGTGTTTCTGCAAGTCCACCTAAGAGACGGGTGACACCGGGGGGGGGGGGGGGGGGGGGGGGGGGGGGGGGACCAGAGAAAAATGCTAACATTGAGAGCCAGTTACCAGTGTCCTCCTCTTTATCCAGACCCATCTCCTAAAATTTTCAGTAAGGAACTGATTACATCTGGCTGGTCGGTCTTTGTGGGGGGTTAAGTGAGGTGAGAAGAGGCAGCCTTAAAGGGGCAGTACCACTTTCTGGGCTGGGTCTTGGGGGAGAAGCTGCGCTAAGCACCAAGCGTGCCTTCCTTCTCCCCGCTTTTGACTGTGGATGTGACAGACAGTTTCAAGCTCCTGCCTGACTCCCCTGCAGTGATGGACTGGAACCTGGAGACATGAGCTAAATAAACCCTTTCTCCCGGATTGCTTTCTGTCGGGGTATCTTGTCGCAGCTACAGAATGAAACCGTTAACACCTGGGATGCAGAGCATCCTTGAGTCTCATGTCATGTGACTGTCTAGTCTGGCTCAATGGTCTGGACTCAGCTACTGATGGTGTCCTTGGGGAAGCAAGAGAGTACAGATATCACCAACCTTCAAACTCCGTACTCCAAGCTGGCCATGGAGTCTCAGGGTTCCTTAGGTGTTGGGGCTCAAAAGAAAGGATGCTAAAGATGTAATACACTCCAGCTCAGAACTGTAAACTAGCCCACAAGAATATCAAGATGGGTACCATGTTTGTCTTGCTCCTACCACACAGGGCCCTGGGACCAATCTCCAACACTGTGAGGGGCTGTCAACCGGAATGGGGACATTGGAGACGAGGCACAACATGGTTTGGACAGAACCCAGTGGGGGCCTGTGGGGTCCACTGAGGCAGGAAGGACAGAGCAAACAAGAGTCTCTGTGGAAACACGCCGCACCCCTACCTGTGTAGCATGGCGTCACCCCCAAACCTCCCTGCTTTGGCCTTGGGGGATGGGCAGGGAGAAGAAATGCTGCATGACTCCCCTCCAGGGCCCAGAACTTACCTCCCACCAAGGAGAATCGGGGTCACCCCGGAGCAGCTCTATCACGTCCCCTGTCTGGAAGGTCAACACTGGCTTTCCCGGAGGGGCTGGGTTACCATGGTAATTCTGCACAGCAACCATCTTGGGACCTATGGATGACAAGGTAGAGGAGGATGGCTCACTGGTGACCTTGTGTCTGCTAGCAGCTCACCCCATCACAGACCCTTTCTGGTCTGGGGAACCCTATGGTGAAACCGCTCCCCAACACAGAGGCGCCTCACTACCCCTTTACTCCCGCATCTTTTTGGGAAACATCCTAAGTAGATAATCTACTCAATGAAACAGATGCCAGAAGAGTTCAATGAACGATATTTATTTTTAGATGGTGTTTTATGGTCTCCTCCAGACACCACTGAACTGGGATCTGCAGTGTAAAGTTGGGGTGGGATCCCATGTTAGAGATGAGGGGGCCACAGCACTGGTCAAAGGCAGGCCTGAGAGACTGCAATGGAGATGGAGCCTGAGCCTCTAAGGGCCTGAGGTTATCCTCAGATGGAGTCCCGTTGTGCCCCAGTCTCACCCCAGATGTTCAAAGATGTCACAGAACTGTCCTGCTGGGCCTGGTCCAGGTCACCATGGCCCAGCACTGGCAACATCTGGGAAGGGATTAAGTTTCCTCTAAGGAAGCTCAGACTTCATCCAAGTTGTGAAGCCGTCAGGCCCGCCTGTTTTAACAGCCTGGGCAGCCCAAACCAGGGGCAGAGAAAAATGGCAGTGGTCCCTGGACTTCCTGCCCACTCAGGTTCTGGGCCAGCAGTTTGGCAGCTCTCTGAGCTGGGGTGGAAGGTCCTTGCCTCTCTGCAGGCTGACCCTTTCCCACCCTATCAGAACCCAAGTCATCCTGGGGAGGCAGCCAGAGAGTCCAGGGCCAAGAATGACTGTGCTAGCTGGGTGGTGGTAGTGGCATATGCCTTTAATCCCAGCACTTGGGAAGCAGAGGCAGGCAGATCTCTGTGAGTTCCAGGCCAATCTGGTCTACAGAGTGAGTTCCAGGACAGCCAAGACTGTTACACAGAGAAACCCTGTCTTGAAATTAAAATGAAAAGAAAGAAAAAAGAAAGAAAGAAAGAAAGAAGGAAGGAAGGAAGGAAGGAAGGAAGGAAAGAAAGAAAGAAAGAAAGAAAGAAAGAAAGAAAGAAAAAGAACGGCTGTGCTAAGCAGCTACCACACGCCCATACAGACTGCAAAGGCGGATGAGCCCAGCGCACTCACCTGGGGCGGCTCCAGAAGCATCCTGTGAGGACAAGGACAGAGGGTTAGGGAAGGTGCTCCACCCTTAGTCCCCACATAGCACTACCCACAGGAGGGTCAAGGCAGGAAGCAGGAGAACAGGGTCATGTCCTAACCTCCAGTGAAGGTCTGCAACACTATTTCCTCTCCCAACATTAGCCATACCCTATCCTGTGCACCCCAACACTGTTACATACCACCAACTCCCGCCTCCCCTGCAAGCCTCCCTGACTATCCTCCAGTGTCTGTTCTGGACACGCCTTTGGAAAAACAACCAAGTGCTACGTGATGGAGCCAGCTCTATCCCCTTGCAGGGCCTGGTGAGCATCCATTCAAGGTTGGATAACAGGGCTGGACTCACAGCTTGCTGGAGACATGGCTCATGCACTATAATGACTTTAGTGACCTGTCCCTGTGGGCAAGCATGCTGTGTTGCAGAGGTGTAGCTACAGCTGGAGATCCCTAGGGAGTTAGAGCAGGTGAGCTGTTGGATACACCCCAGGAGGGAGCGGACAGACACACTTCTGTGCTGGCACAGCCCCAAAGAGTGGGAGGAGTTGGGAGCACTCACCGAGTCTGCAGAAGAACCTGCAAAGGAAGCAAAGCAGGGGTCAAAGTGGAAGTCTCGACAGAAAGGTGGCCTCCACAGTGCATGCTCACAGCACAGGAGTGGCTGGCTGAACTGCAAGGAGCTCCCTTCAGAGCCCAAGTACAGAGCGCACAGAGACTCAGCCTCACATCCATGAAGGTCACCTTGACAGCAAGCTCTGAGTTCTGGCTCTAGGGAGCCGTGGGGAACTCAGACTGGAAGTCATACCTGAGATAGCCTAGGCTTTTCTGCCTGGGCCAACTCTGAATGGTGGCAACTGGGTTCAGGGGGCAATTTCTATTTATTTATTTGTTTGTTTGTTTTATTATACAGTGTTCTGTCTGTGTGTATCCCTGCAGGCCAAAGAGGGTGCCAGATCTCATTACAGATGGTTGTGAGCCACCATGTGGTTGCTGGGAATTGAACTCAGGACCTCTGGAAGAGCAGTCAGTGTTCTTAACCTCTGAGCCATCTCTGCAGCCCTCTCAGGGGGCAATTTCTACACCTGGTTGGTGATACCGGCCATGGGTGTGTGATACACAGGTGGGTGTGCAAAGGCTCCTGTTTCCCTCCTCCTCTAAGACCCTGAAGTCGGACACTGGTCATGCAGTCGTCACGTGGGAGGGAGGACATCACCCAGCCATGGCTAGGCTGGGCTTCTACCTCAGCAGGAGTCAAAACGAGGGCTATGACAGCAAGGGTGTGCGGCTGATGGGACCTCAATACCCCCAACTATGGTGGCTACAGACTCCTCTGGGAACGTTTGACTCTTTTACAGACCCTTGGAACACGAAAGTGGGTAGCCATGTCCCACAGGAGGGCAGCACAGCTACTGCCCTGCCCAGAGAGGATCTCCATGGCTCTCAGGAGGGGCTGGCATCTCCCTAGGAGTAGCATGGCTCCCACACGGGTTACAAAGTCCATCTCCTTTGGTGGTGGTACTCTCATTGCTCACAGGGGAAAGCTGACCTGTTGTGGGATATTTGTACAGGGTGCAAAGGTGTATTGTTGTGATTGGTGTAATAAAAAGCTGAACAGTCAATAGCTAGGCAGGAGGTATAGGTGGAACTTTCGGGCAGAGGGAGAGAAATGGGGAAGAAGAAAACAGGCGCGGAGAGGATGCCATAGAGACGTAGAACACACAGAATGGAAGAGAGGTAAAAGCCACGTGGTAGGGAACTCATCAAGGCCAGCTGGCCCGGGTCTGAAAAAGCATGGGATAAAACCGGACTTGCTGAACATAGTGGACAATGAGGACTACTGAGAACTCAAGAACAATGGCAATGGGTTTTTGATCCTATTGCATGTACTGGCTTTGTGGGAGCCTAGGCAGTTTGGATGCTCACCTTACTAGACCTGGATTGAGGTGGGTGGTCCTCGGACTTCCCACAGGTCAGGGAACCCTGATTGCTCTTGGGGATGAGGCGAAGGGGGCTTGGAGGGGGGGGGGGGGCTTGGGTGGGGGAGGGGGGAGGGAAATGGGAGGCAGTGGCGGGGAGGAGGCAGAAATCTTTAATAAATAAATAAATTTTTAAAAAATTATAAATCAATGAAATCTTGGTATAAATATATGTGGAACCCCAATAAAAGTAAAAAAAAGCCACGTGGTAGGATGTAGATTAATAAAATTATGGGTTAATGTAAGTGATAAGAGCTGGTGGGACAAGCCTAAGCTAACGGCCAGGCCTTCATAATTAATAAGCCGTTTCCGTGTTGTTATTTGGGAGCTGGCTGGTGGGGCAGGAAATGGCTCGTTAAACTGACCAATGCCAGAGGAGCACTGACCAAAGCATCAGAGCCAATCAGAGGGAAAGCAGCATCCCCTCGCAGAGGAGCGAGGGGACCATGGGCTCCACCCGAGGGGAGTCAGATGCCAGCCAGGGGCCGTGATGACAGGATATGGTCTCTGGAAGGACCCCACTGATGCCAGATAGAACAAAAGCCCCGGGAGACTAGGACCTGGCACCCAGGGATGCAAAAGGAAGGAAACGCCCACAGGGCTGCGGGTGCCTGAAGGAACTAGGACTAGGGGTTTTCTTTCCTTTTCTTCACACTTCTTTACATTTTAAACGTTTCTAAGCAACAAGTATCTAATAATTAAGAGGTGGGGGAGGGTAACTCTAAAAATGGGTTTCCAAAAAAAGGAAAACTTAAAATGTGAGAAAACATAGTCTTCAGCTCTTTCTAGGGCTTTCGTTTATGTTGAGACAGGGTCTCATGTAGCCCAGGCCGACCCCAAATTCTCTCTAGAACCAAGGATGTTTTTGTCCTGATTCTCCTGAGGGTACTTTACCAACTGAGCTACACACACACACAACCCACGCCTTTATCTTGGTAAGTTCATTAGCCATGTTTCTTCTCTTTTGTTGAGACAGAATTTCACGATGTAGTTTTGGCTGGCCTCTTAGAGATACGTCTGTCTCTGCCTCCTGAGTGCTGGGATTAAAGGTGTGCACCACCACCGCCCGCCCTAGTGTCCCCATTTTTTTCTATAATTAAGTTTATTAACTTTTAGAATAGAATCTCACACACACACACACACACACACACACACACACACACACACACACTGTATAATTAGGGCAGTTGCCGTGCATGAGGGGCTTATGGCCACAAGAGGGCGACATTGACATTGCCAAGGCTTTTCTAGGGCTGATCTGGAGGTGGTACCTACTAACCCAGAGACCAAGGAGACATGCTCAGTAAGACAGTGACCCCCAGGACCCGGTCAAACACAAGAGGATTGGTTTTCCACCACAAGGAGGGCAGGTGCAGGGTTGTCCCGCTAGAAGAAAATCCAGGCACTTCTCAGCCCTGGGACTGAGAGCAAGTTAGCCTCCTGTATGTGGTTCCTGTGTTTGCACAGCCTGATACAACAGGACCTCCCCTGCGAATGGCGAGGATGGGGCTCCCATGTGAAGCACAGAGGATGGAGCCTGGCACTTAGCAGGTGCCACTACCTGTGCAGGGCTGTCACTGGGGCATGCTGCCAACATGCCAACTTCCTGCCAGAGGAAGTTTGGGGGTTGGCAGAGAACACTTCTAGCATGCCTGAGACCCCAAGGCAGATTTCACTCCAGCATCAGAGAAAAATACAACAAATGCCTAAGCTTGCTGGTCCCATCTGGACCCACTGCTCGGTGAGGCGTGTATTCAGCCGTACACTAACCAAGCTGTGATGGCCAGGACACTCCCGGAGAAAGAACCAGGAGTGAGAGCCAGTTATGATGGGGATTTATGGTGGGAATCCCCACATTCCTGCTGAGAACGTCCTGTGCCTTTTGAGGATGTGGGTCAAAGGGACCATGAACTTACTTCCGGGATGGACCAGAGGTGCAGTAGGTGCAGGGAAAAAGTCACAAGAGGTTTGGAAAGGAACCACGCCCAGCTATGGCTTTTGATAACCACCCCCCAGCCAAGTAGCTTCACATCTTGGCCTCATTTGACCCCCCCTCCTAAGGCACAGAACCGTCACAGGGTGAAAGGCAGTGTGAGCAAGGGGTCCCCGCGATCAGGGCACTGTCAGTGGGGCACGTGCCCATGCATGGGTGGATACTCACTGATCTTGCAGGGGGGCATCACCTCCAGGCACTCCTTGTGTGCGCCGACGCCACATCTGGTGCACAGGTAACCCTGGTAGAAGGTACCCCTGTGTGGGGGAAGGTGGTAGGTAAGGTGGGGGTGCAGCTCTCTGCTCCCTCAGCCAGTCATCACCCTGGTCAAAACCTATCAGTCTACCTGGAGATCTGCTCTGGAGCATCCACATCCCCAAAGCACCTGCTATCCCCGACCACCTCAGCCTGGCCCCTCGCTCCACAGTCCCCAGCAGGGGCAAACCCTCTGCTGGACCCAATACTCCAACAGCCCTGGTTGCTGACCCCTTCTGATTACCTCCCTGGTTCTTGGAGGCATCCTATGGGGCTAAGGGGAGCGGTCAGGTGTCATGGTGTCACGGGGCAGCTCAGCAGAGTGCCCTGCAGGCCAGGGAGGCTGTGGGTAGATGGGCAGAAGAGACCCACCTGAGGAACATCCTGCAGGCTTTGCAGTTAGTGGTCTTATCAAACGTGTACATCTGGAAGCTGTGGTGATTGGCATTGGCTTTGTCCGGCTTGATGTTTGACCTGGTGGAAGGAGAGAGTAGGCACTCCATGCCCAGGCTGCCTGAGCCCATGAATACAAGGACAACCACTTGAGGACCCAGGCTGCACACACCAGCAGCCGGGGTCTCCCCACACACGTCAGGGGAAAGGGTAGGAAGGTATGAGGGGGTGGGGAGCGGGGCTCTTAACTACACCATGCTGGCCCAAGAGTGCCTGCCGGGTGAGGCAGAAGGGTATTGAAAATGGCCCTGGAGAGTCAAACTTAGCTTGCATCGCTGCCCTCCTTGTCCACTATTTTCCTCTCTGAGGTTTTACCCACAATCCAATGTGGACTGAAAACCTTAGATGGAAAATTCCAGAACCAAGCAGTTCACGAGTTTTTGCTCCTGTTGTGAGTAACATGAGAAAATCTCTCTAACCCAGGACATGGGCTATCCTCTGCCACTGCATCCGTGCCGTGGGAGCTATCTACCTGTTAGTTGGTGACCGTCTGGTAGCAAATCAACTGTCACAAACACACAGGACTTGCAGTCACTGTATTCTACTCACCACTGGTCCCTGTGCAAGCACAGTGATTTCATTATAACCGGGTGTATAAGGGTCTAATAACCGGTTCTCAGTTCTTAGCTGTACTGATGTACGCAATGCATCCTACCATGGGTCTGCACACCGACAACATTGTGTACCCATAAGGCTTGGTGCTACTTTGGTTTCAGGCACTTGGTGGTGGTCCTGGACTGTGCCCCACGGATGGCAGGGTAAATACACTCAGGTTTACACTTCCCAGTGTAAGTGCCTATTTGCACAAACGTGGAACTAATGACTAGCTCATGATCACACCCCAAGGCCACATTCACTGTATCCTCTCCACCATCAGACTTGAGAAGGCAGGACAGACAGACAGACAAGAAGGGAGAGGCGTGCACGAGGAGGGTGCTAAGAGGCATTCTTCAACTTCTGTGAATACTTGAGACTGCTTCAATACTTCCCCGCACAATGCTGGGAGGAGAAGGCCAACCCAAAGAAACCGAGGGGCAGAGAGCCCCGGGGCTCTCACAGTTGGGGCTCTCACAGTCTGGACGCAAGCCAGCAGGCAGCCACCGCCCAGGGTACCAGCCTGATGCAGCTGCCTTGACCTCACTCTGGTATCTGTATCTCACCATGTGGGAAGCCTAGGGGAGTGGTATCCTCCCCAGAAGTCCCCAAGTCTGGCTGCTGTAGGGTCAAGCGTAAACACCACACCCACCCTTCTGCCCTCCACCTCTTTTCTCTGCTCTGTGTGATGGGGTGCTCCTTCAACCTCATGGGACACTGTCCTGTCTCCCTTCACCAGTTACCACCTAGCTGCCAAGCGGGAGGCTCAGCCTCCACGGTGGTGAGGCCCATCTAGCTGGAACCTGATGCCCCCTGAGACATCTGGGAGACAGAGCTAGGGCCTGCAGAGGCGGCTGGTGTCCCACGGGGAAGGAGTTTGTCTCAGGCTGAGCATCAGAACCACCTCCCACTACTGCTTGCCTGAGAGGGTCAGCAGGACAGAATCAATAGGCCGGAGGGTCCTGCCATAAACTCACATGGCCATCTCGAACTGCTCCATCCACTTCCGCTTCATGTCCTCCGTCTTGCAGAAGAACTGGAAGCCTTGCTTTCCTTGGAGGTGAATCAGGTAGAAGCCATAGGACCACTGTAGGGACAGAGGCATGCTGGCAGCTGGCATGGCTTTGTGGGGGCAGGAGCATGCCCGGCAGCCAGCATGGTTTTGGACACTACCACCTGGTATACACAAGTTCTCTTTCTGGCACTGTATGTGTATGTATGTGTTTAACATGCCTGTGTATAGCATGCTCTTATGTAACATACACTCTTGCCTGGTTGCGTGTGTGCATGTGCAAACCCTTCCCACACGTGTGAATGTCAGTGCACTGTGCTCTTTCCCGAGCAGGCCAGGGGCTCTCATGTATGAACGTACATAGGAACTTGTGCCTGTACATGTGATTGGCCTTGTGATCACGTACATATGTGCCTTCCTGTGTAAACATGCGTGTATGCACTGTGCCTGTATGCATACATGTGCATGGGTACTTGTTCCTGTTCCTGGATATAGAAGTGTCCATATAGGTATACCCAAGCCTGTATATGGGTGTCTATTGCTCCTTTAACATGTGTGTCCATCATGTATGCATGTGTTTGGATCTGTAGACCATGCTCTGCACATGGACCCCCGTGCACAGGTGTGTAGGTAGTGCTGTGTACTATGTACACACACATGCATGCATGCATGTGTACAAGAGTCCTATTGTGCTCATATGCATGTATGTGGGGGCCCTGCTGTGTGCATGTGTATATATGTATCCTGCTGTGTACACATGTATGCATATGGGCACTACTGTGCCCATGCATGTGTGTGCGTGTATGCTGCAACCCTGTTGTGTGCACTTGTATGTATGCAAGGGCCTGCTATGTGTGTATGTATCTATGAGTGGGTGCGGCAGCCCATGCTCAGGTCCTACCCTCTAGCAGGATAGCCCACCCTTCTCCCACCCCTTTATGGGGCACTTCCACCCAAATCCCTGCTGTCCTAGGGACTCCCCAGGAATAGTTCTCAGGAGCCAACCTACTGCCCTTCCACAGCCCTACCTACTCACTTTCACTTTCTGGGGGGGGGTGGTAAAAACCAATAGGAAAAAGAAAGGCTGGGGTCAGATGTTTGAGGGTCTGACCAAGCCGAGCAACCCAGCAGCTCGCCCCACCCACTGGCCCGGCCAATACTCCAGGCTTAAGAAAAGGGCTTCCAAAGGGCCCAGGTAAAGTGTGGTCTATCTAGAAGTGGGGGAATGGAAAGAAGCAGAGGGGAAGCAGGAGGGGGGGAGTGAGGAGGGTGGTGCAAGGCAGAGGGCAGGAAGCCTGGCCTGCCAGTGCTCAGAGACACCTGACCTTCACCTCCCAGGAAGGAGAGCAGGTGGGCTTCCAGGTCACACCTTCTGCAACTCTTTGGCCACAAACACGTGTCACCATCATGATTAAGATGCAAAGGAAGGAGGGGGAGGGGAGAGCCATGGAGCCCCAAACCCGCAAGTTTGGAAGGGCCAGCGTCAGACAGCACTGGGGAGGGAGAGGGAGGAGAGCACCAGGGGCTTACCATCTTCCCATGAGACTAGGAAGCATGAAGAGGAAAGGAAAGGGGGAGACAGGTCATTAAGAGGCTCGGCCGGCCCTGGATGTACTGCAGTCTGAGGCGACTGATAGTCCCGGATGGTAAGGTCCCACCTCTGTCAAGCACCCTAGGCTGTTCTCCCCAAAGACCCAAGCTTGGAAAGTGGCCCTGGTCACTGCCTCTTGCGTCAGACACCAGGGCTAAGAGAAGCCTGTGCATGGCGGGCCTGCACCCAGTGTGGGGACTTGCAGAAGGTCAGAGCCTTTAGCAGCTGGGCTCCCATCCCTAACCCAGCCGGGGTTATGCACAAAAGGTGCTGTGTTCGGAAGTCTCCGAGAAACAAGACTGAAGCAAGCCAGTCTGCCGTCCATCCCATCCCCTCCCGGCCACAGCCACAACCACAATGCCCGTGGCTCCACCCCCTTGTGGCCACAATCCCTCTTCCTGCAGGCCTAGTCCACTGGATTGCAGAGTCTGACAAACCACAAACCGGCTCCCAACAAGGCCGAGTAGGAATGGAGGAGGAAAGGCCTGCTTGTTACAAGACACAATGAGGGATTAGAGTCAGGTCCACTAAGGCTAAAAGTCGAGGTTGAGAGCTAGGCTCTTACTGGTGCCTAAGTAAGGCCCCTCCCTCTGTTTCTGGGGACCTGGAGTCCTAAGGGTGTCTACCACCCCCCACGGGAACCATCTGTTGCAGTCACGGTGGCAAAGGGAGGACAGTCTTCCCGCAAGGCTACCTCACAGACACTGGATGTGGTCTCCCTGGAGTCGGGACGCCTTGCTTGCCCTCTCCAGATCTGGACCCACCTTTTTTTTTTTTTTTTTTTTTTTTTAAGATTTATTCATTATATACACAATGTTTCCCCTGCCTGTACACCTCCATGCCAGGAGAGGGCACCAGATCTCATTACAGATGGTTTTGAGCCACCATGTGGTTGCTGGGAGTTGAACTCAGGACCTCTGGAAGAGCAGGCAATGCTCTTAACCGCTGAGCCATCTCTCCAGCCCCTGGACCCACCTTCTTGATGTCCTTGTTGTGCATAGGGTCATCAGTCATCTTGTGGAAGAGCAGCTCGATGACCTCCTTCAGCTCGTAGCTGTAGCCCTTCCTCTTACACACAATGGCCACCTTGTCAAACAGGAACAGGTACCTGGCCAGACAGCGCATCGAGTGTCAGGACAGCCATGCTGTGTCCGGTATCCCCACCCAGCGCCAGCCAGCTGTCCCGGAGGTCACTCAGTGTCAGACCAACAAGACCAAGGCCTGCACGTGCTGTCCACTCTCCAAGGTGAAGGCCTCCCTTCTGCCAGGTCGGCCAGGCACAGTGACTCTTGGTCAGGACTCTACTGTCCCCATAAGGCCTCTCAGGGCCACCTCCATGCAGAAGGTCCTCAACCCTCTATCTTGACCTCCCTTGGAGCACTGTTCAAACGCCACAGCCAATTCTCTCTTCTGTGCCCCCAGGACCCAAGTCTGCTGTGACCCCAGCCCTCACAGATGCCTGGCTTATTCCGACTTCTCCACCACCTGCTATCTGCTCCCAGAGGACACTAGGCGGGGGGGCGTGCATGGCCTCATGGCCCCTCAGTCAGAGCTCCCTGAAGATTGCGAGCTGGAGGGCAGACCTCTCTACCGCCCACTTTTGACTGTCTCTCAGCCCCACATAGTGGCCATCACAGGCGGGGCAGTCCCTTTGCGCGTGGCCTCTGCTGACCGATATGACAGGCACACAGAGGCTTGTGTAGGGATTACGTCATTAAACAGAACCACATAAAGCCTGTTGCACCATTATTCCTCCCTCAGGAAGGTCTGGGAGTGGGGTCCCTGAGCCGGAGGGTCAGCCCGGGATGGGGGTCCCACCCTGCTCACCTGTCTTGCTTAGTGTGGTTGACTATGGACCGGACTTTCAGCTCCCCATCAATCTTCGGCCTCCCAAATTCCTCCAGCTTCACTTGCTGGGAAAGGCAATGACCGTTAGCCCGCGGGCAGGTGACCTCTGCTTTACTAGACAGGGAGACAAGTGTGCATGCCCAGGCCAGGATGGCAAGACTCAAGAAAATGTGCCAATGGTGACTGGGTGGGACGAGGTAGCCCGAGGCCATTATGGGCCTGAGCCAAGCCTATGTCCTCCTAGGGGGCCACAATGGGGACTCCCTTGAGCTCTGGGAACAAAGGGCAATTGATGGCCTGGCCATGATCACAAGTAGCTGCTGTGTGGAAGCCAGAGCTGTAGGAAAAGTCAGAGGTCCAGCCCTAAGAGAGCTAACACAGAAAGCAAGCGGTAGCCATAGGCTGGGTTCCGGCCACAGGTTTATCCTCTACAGGAAGCAACGCTGTGCCCAGACCTGCTACCACCTGGCTGTGAAGACTCTGTTTCCAGGGCTGCATGGATTGTGCCTCTCTGTACTGTGTAATCCGGGGAGATCTGCTTCTCTGCCATCCTCTGTGTGACAGAGAGGGCAAGTTCCCAGGGGCTTGGCTATGCCTGAGGGGGACCAAATGATCACAACTCCCCAGTCTCATGCACTTCCTGAAAGCTCCTAGGGCTGGTTTCAGTGTGACACAGGCTGGTCTAGGCCTGACACAGGGCGGGAGTCACATCTGCTGAGGGACTCTGCCATGTGTCTTTCTCCCATCAATCAGGACACAAAACTCCAGACGCCTTTACCTGGAGACGGCGCCAAGGCTCCATGCAACATAGTAGAGTCATGTCCCAGGAACACCAACATTCATGGACCACTGTTCTTTTTGAGACAGGGCCCTGTTGTATCCCAGACTGGACTGGAAGTTGCTATGTAGTCAGGGACAACTCTGGTCCTTCTGCTTCCCCACCCTTTGTCCTCCCCCATTTCCCCACCCTGTGCTGAATTACAGTTAATGTCCCCAAGTCCAGTTTATTAAGGGCCCTGTGCGTGAGAGACAAGCACCCTGCCAGCTAAACCGTACCCGCAATCCTCTCCTCATTTAAGGAACTAACACCCATCACGCTCCCCTGTGAACAAAGCAGCTGTCACTGTGTGGGGGGCTAGAAAGCAAGGATGAGCAGTGAGGGGCCTGGACCCCACAAATGCTCATGCCTTAGGCCACACCCACACTGGGAGATGCACAGGGAGAACACTGCTTGACAATTTCTGCCACTCTCTGGCTGGCGGCATGGCCTGGATGTCTCCTGATGAACCAGGCCCTCAGAGGGCTCCTCTGTCGGTGAAGACGGGCATGCCAATCAAGATACCATGGTTCCCCACGCTCATGAGAGTGAAGTCACCAGGAAGAGGAAATGTTTAAGACAAAACCATGGTTCTGTGTCAAGCTGACTCTGGGCATTGAACAGCATTGGAGGTGCAGACATCACTTGGGGTCAAGGGTGCTGTTGCAAGGGGCAAGGACAGGCTTCCGTTCTCCTAATGCAGAAGACTGGAGCACAGAGAGCTAGATCTAACACGGGCCAAGGATGCCTGAGTCCCGAAGCAGTTCATTTCTTCTCTGCAGGCAACCTCTAGTTTTTTGTTTATGTTTTTTTGAGACAGGGTTTCTCAGTTTAGCGTTGACTGTCCCGGAATTCTCTCTGTAGACCAGACTGGCCTCGAACTCAAAGAGATCTGCCTGCCTCTGCCTCCCGAATACTGGGATTAAAGATGTGTGCTTCACCACCGCCTGGCCCCAGTCAACCTCTGAAGGACTGGGCTAGAGAGTGCCAGCCTTGCCTGGAGCTCCCGGAGGAGGGGAGACGACTGTTGTCCCACTCCCAAACCAAACCCCGTCTGTGGCCCACCTGAGGATAGGGAGACTGATAGGGGAAGGGTGGATCACAGACCGGGCAAATCCTCTCATCTCAGGCGGCCACAGCCATGCCAGGCTTCACAGGTGGTCTCTATGGTAAGCGTAGGTGGAGGGGCCACCTGCTTACCAGGTTTTCTATGGAGCACTGGAACTCGCTGATCTTCTTCAAGGTCTCTTTATCCCGTTTTACTTCATTGATGTACATGGCCAAGTCCTGGAAATTAAGACAGGGTCAGTGAACTCCAAGCCCCCGCCCTGCCCAGTTGGCCATTTCATATCCCTTCCTCCATCTTGCCTGGGCAGCTGAAACTCCAGGCCATGGGAATAAGAAGCACCACACACAGGTGTCAAAGGCAGAAACCAAAACTGAGAATACAACATTTGGGCCCCAGACTGCAGACCGTGCTGGTGAGGGTGCTGGCAGCCCCCAAATCCAAGCTCCCGACAAAACTTTTTTCTCACTCAACAGGCCTTCTAAGTCAGAATGGAGAAGCAGCCCAGCATGACTAGGCCACAGTGGGCCACACAGCCACTGTCTAGACCTACACACCTCTCCGCTCTCACGAAACCCCAGCCCCACCTCTCCTGAAGAGTCTGGGTATTCTGTAAGTGGCCTGGGAGAACAAGGTCCCTATATGATGCCGCAGTCCTCCAGTTGGCCACCAGGGGGAAGTGCTCACTTTGTTTCAGAAAGTTTGCAATGGCCTGGAAACCAAGCCCAGTGGTGGCTGGGACAGTACAGCAATGATCCTGCCCAGAAAGCAAAGCAGAGAGGAAATCCCCAAAACACAGGAGCCAGGCCCACATCCTGGAGCCAGCTCCAACCTCCTGCATGGCCTCGCATGCTTCTGGGGGTCACTTCAAAGGCCACACCCCAAGCCTCACTGAACCTGGCAGGGCTGAAGCTCCCTCCTGTACAACACTGTAGGCATTTTTGTAAAGGATGGTTTTTATTCTGAATCAACAGCGGGGACTGAATCTGAGCATGCGTGGCCCAGTGCACACATGGCTGGATCCACAGAAGTGCATGTTTGGAATGGAGATTCCCGCAGAGACAGATATTAGAGCCCCAGAGGCAGGGTAGCCAATGAGCAGAGGACATAGCCTTGCAGTGAGGGTACATTGCCACCCTGTAGGAAACCCAGCTCCGGGGCAGTGACACCTCAGACACTGGCTGAATGAGGATTTTCTGACTGACACTGGGGACATAAAGGCTTTTAGTTTCCCTGTATTGGTTTTTATAGAGGACATGTCAATTGAATAATTGCCTCGATCACACTGTCTTGGGGGTCACATCTGTGGGAGATTGTCTTGATTGATGACTGAGGTGAGATTGCACAGCCCACTGTGGGCAGCACCATCCCTAGGCAGGTGGGCCACATAAGAAGGCTAGCTAAGCAAGCCAGAGGGAGTCAGTAAGCAGTCTTCCTCCTGTGGTTTCTGCTCCACGTTCCTGCTGGAGTTCCTGCCCTGACTTCCCTTCACGATGAACTGTGACCTGGAAGTGTAATCTAAAATAAACCCTTTCTTCCCCTAAATTGCTTTGGGTTGTGCTATTTATCCACAGTGACAGAAAGCAAACCAGGACACCTCCCAAACACTGAAGTCGTAAGAGCTGACTCAATGACATGGAGAACACAGAAGTCACATGTTCTCCGTGGAATGCCAGGGGCTGCACTCAGGGTACCACCTGCGGGCTGGCAACTGAACGATGGAGGGGTGGAACGTGTGGCCGGGCTGGGGCTCAGGGTGCACCTGCAGCCGTGGATTACATATCCCAGGAATGGGTAACTGACATGGTCCCTCTGCTGCCGTGGCAGGTGACCTCGGTTCCCCCGGGGAACCAGCAAAAGATCCCTGCGTCAGTCATGATCCCCATGCTCAAGTACACCTCAAACTGGCACCGGCTTCTGCAGCTGCATGAGGCCTGCTCACTGACAGCTCCGGGCAGCTGGAGATACAGCATCCTCCTTGCTGAGCCCGGCAGCTGCGTAGGAGACAGGCTGCAGCTTCTCCCTCTTCAAATGAGGGAGAGGAAGAGCTCCAGGGCCCAGAGGACTCCTCAGGGACAGGTGTCAGATGTCAAGGCTGCAACTAACTTGCTTCTACCACACAGAGGGACATAGCCTGTGTGGGGCGTTGTAGCTGGCCTCGGACACAAGTGACGATGAGAGGCACAGGTACAGCTGGGGGTAGCCTGACAGTCTCTGGACTAAGGGGTCTGGAAGGTGACTTTCTTGGGCAGTGTCAAGTTGATGGCAAGGATGGATGAGTGGGATATAGACAGGTTAACGAGGAAGGGGACATGGCCTGAGCAGATACCTTGGAGATGGGAAAGAATAGAGCATGCCTGGGAACCTGGGGATTTCCTGCTACCCACATCTTCAATGACCCTGTGATGTGAAAGTCCTAAGAACAGGGGGAAGGATTAGGCCTGATTCAGAGAGCAACAGGAGCCACAAAGGTTTCTGAGCAGGACAGTGATGTGTGCCGAGCTTCAGAGGGCAGCAGGGTGTCATAACAAGACAGACAATGGAGGAATGGCGTCCCTGAAGCCAGTACGTGGAAAGGAACCTTCAAGAAAGTGGCAGAAGAACCAGAGCACAGAACAAATCTTCAGCAGGAGAAGCCACAGAGGAAAGGCGGGAACTCCAGGAATAGAGCTGGCTCCTGAAAACCACTGCAGGCCCCAGGGGACACAAAGGAGTTGGAGACAGGGGCAACTACTGGCAAGAGAAGCTGGGGACTTTGGACGCATGGAAAAAGCACCTAGCCTGTAGCTTCCTCCACTATCACGTGACTCTCACCCCACCCCCTAGTGTCCTGTCTCTGTTTCCACGGGCAAATAAATGTTCCCCAAGGCCAAGGAGCTCAGTCTGGAGCCAGGAACATAGACACACTGATCTGAGTGCTTCCCAGCTCTACCTCAATTTACCGACCTGCATGGCTTCCAACGCTTCTTTCAGCTGCTGTCTTTCTGGCCGGTCAGCAGAATGGCTCAGGAGTTCCTAGGGGAGTGAGAGGAGACCCAGGGTCAGTCCTCAGGATTCCAGCCCTGCCCGTCCCTGTCCCTACCCAGTGCAAGGTGTGCACACAGCAAGACCCTCAGGACAAAAATCACCCACTAGCATGAATGAAGGTCGATCTGTCCAACTCCAGCAGACATGGGGACCCCTGACACAGTGGACACCTCTGCCAGGAAGACTCAAGCAACCAACCACTGAAGCTCTCCTGCTCCTGGTCTAAGGGTGTCTTCAATCTCTTCCCACTTTCCTGGCCCTCTGACTTGTTCTAGTCATAATTATCCTTCCGGGTGCCTTGATACCCTTGCCGTGGTGTGTACTGAGCAGAGTCCTTCACCAGCCATGATACCCTGTCGTGGTGTGTACGAGCAGAGTCCTTCATCAGCCTCTGTTTCACCCTGTCTAAGGGCCAAAGCCCATGCCACCAAGCCCATGTGATACAGGGCACAGCGAGCAGCCTGATGGCCTCACCTTGAGCAGCAGGTGATACTTGAGCACCCGTTGCATGGGCACCACCAGCAGATCTTGCAGCTTGAACTTGCCGTCCTGGACCTTGAGCGTGCACTCCTGGTGTGGGAAAACAATGAGTGGATGAGGGGTACCCTCGCTGGGAGAACCCGTCTCCACTGCCAGCCACATAGAGAAAGCGCCCTCAGCCCTGGACTCTCAGACTTCTAGAATATGCGTCAGGTGGGTGTCATAGCATGTGAGCAGGCCATACCACTCCTAATATCACGACACATGCTGGGACCCTGGTATCTGAGGCACCCCTTTGTCCACCATAGCCTGGTGGGGCCAGGACTTGTAGAACACGGCCTATGGACCTGCCATCTGCTCCGTGAGAAGCCAAGTCGGGGTGGGGTGGGGGGCTCACACAAAGCTGTGAGATCACTTAGGGTCCCCTGGGATGCCTGGACAGGAGGAACAAGCATTGCATGCCACCAGCACTCGAGCTCTAAAGACGGAACTTTCCAGACCACACGGGATAGGGACACTGGGGTGAGGAAGAGCCAGGAAGGCACTCAGGAGAAACAAGCTGGTAAAGGCAGAGAAACTGGGGCGACGGAAGGAGGCCCAATGTATCAAGCAAGTCACCTAGGTCCCATCAAAGACCCTGGGATCAGCAGAGGCTAGGGTCAAGTGTCACTCATTGAGACAGACTTGTCCAGGCCTCCACAGCCCGTAAGGCTCAGGTTGTGTTCTAGCTTGGTCCATGTATTCTGGAAGTCACCAAACAAAGTGGGGAGAGGGGGGGCACAAAGCCAAAGATGGGTGTTGAGGGAAGCTAGTGTGGACCTGAGCAGCCAGCTGTGCCACGCCAGGGTACTGGGATGCCCTGTTACCTCTACTTTCAGCCTGAAGTCCTCCCGGCTGGCAAGGAGCTGGTTCAGCGTGCTCTGAGCATGCTCCATGTGGCTGCAGTACTCTCCGTAGATCAGGAGCCTGGGGAGGGGACAGCAACATGTACATGGTGCCACACACACGGGCACAGATCAAGTAAGACACCTACAGATGCTAGGAGCCCGTACGGTACACAGGCACGTGAACACACGTGCACCCATGTACGTCTAAGGTACTTGCAGCTGCAATGCCTTGACTCCCTCCCAGGCAGGTTGGAGAGCCTCAGGGTCACTGCCTCACATGCCTCTGCCCCCTCGGCCCCCTTCTATTTTCTCTTCATTCTCTACATGACCAGGTTAGGAGAAGGAATCCCAAAACATTAGCCAAGGGCACCTCCTGCAGACCTACTTCAACCCATGAACCATGGTTCTACCTCCATTCTGGAAAGAAATGCCTGGAACAGAGAAGTCCCAGCCTCCTGGGGCTCTCAGCTTGCCACCAAGGCTAGCATGGGGGCCGTTCATTGCTCAAGCTCACCCTTGAGGCCATGCAAAATGGAGGCGGCCACTGGTCTTCTGCAGGGGTCAGCGGCTGCATTCAGAAGAGATGCAAGGCCTGTGCCCAGGCAGAAGCAACAGGGTCCCGGCAGCCCTAGCCAGCCCTTTTCGTCTTCTGCTGTCCCCTGCTCCCCTCCTTGCCATGCCCCACCATGTCACCATCTCCCCATGCCATTCAGATGATCTTTTTCCTCCATATTTTGTTCCCTTTTTTGTCCCCATCTGGGCCCATATATTACCTCAGGGGTGACATCTCTGTAGCTCAGAACCCCTGAACTATCAGGAAAAGGGGGCAGCTACTCAACTCCCTCCCCAGGTCCTCATGCCCTGACCAAATAGAAGATGGTAAGAGGAGACTATGCCAGGTGACAATGTTACCAAGGAATAGCAGGATGGCAGCCACCCCCCCCCACTAGACCACCACTCCCTCAATGACTGTGCTACAGGTCCATTCTTTAAGCAGTCAGCCAAGGTTACTGAAGCCCCAGTGAACTGCCTGTGACAGCAGCTGAGGTCAGTCTGGCAGAGTCATACGAGGAGCTTATTGGGGGAGGCTGGACTTACTCTTGGTGTTCCAGACCCACCCTATCCCATCCCAGCATATATCAGGGAGTACTGTGTCAAGGACCCCTGGGTTCTCCCTAGTCTGGTTCTAATGACCATGCAACAGTCACTGTCCACTGAGATTCTTATTCCTCTTAGGCAGCAGGCACGGGGCTGAGGCAGCTGGCTAGACTTCTTGCAGGAGCCACAAGGAAGAAGCAGTTGATGTGGCTCCTGGGGAGACTAGGCTCTGCCACATGGGCAGCTCTAGGCAAGTCTCTTTTCCCTAGTGTACTGGTTAGAATGAGCATGCCCCCCTCAAACCTATAGGCTGATAGGCTTGACTACTTGGTCCCCAGTTGGTGGAACTGTTTGGGAAGGATGAGGTAAATGTGGCCTTGTTGTGTTGGAGAAAGTGTGTCACTAGGGGTGAGCTTTGTGTCCTGGTGTTGGCTCTACCTCTTACTGGAGGGTTTAGAGGTGAGTTAGTGGCTGCTACTGCCACTATGATGTTGTTCCACCACTGCCATAGTTTGAGTAAGGATGACACTCAGGCTCATATATTTGTAGCCTTAGTCATCAGAGAGTGGCATTAATTGATAAGGATTAGGAGGTGTGGCCTTGGAGGAAGTGAGTCACTAGGGGTGGGCTTTGAGGTAGCCCAGGAGGCCCAGTGGCTCTTCCTGTTGCCTGCAGATCCAGAAATAGAACTCTCCGCTACTTCTCCAGCACCATGTCTGCCTGCATGCCACCGTGCTCCCTGCCATGATGATAATGGACTAAATTTCTGATAAGTTTACATGCTTCAATAAGTTCCAATTATGTGCTTTATTTTATAAGTTACCTTGGTCACAGTGTCTCTTCAAGGCAACAGAATAGTGACCAAGACATGGTGAACTCTAACCCTCTGGGAAACATAAGTCCAATTCGACACTTTCTTTGCTGACTTGACAAGTATAATCCTGACAGGGCTCAGTGCTCCACCCAAAGAACCCCAAAAGGTGTTTGGTGCTACCTATCCCAACAGATGCATGCCTGCAATCCCAACAGAAGCAGGAGAAAAGCTGCAGGCTTCGAAGGGGTTTGGGGATGAATGTAGCTCAGAGGTTGAGAGCTTGCTTAGCACATGTAAGGGGTGGGGGAGTGAGTCTCATCCTGTTTCGGGATAATGGTCTCATACCCTGTAAAGGTTTGTCACTTGTATTGAATTAATAAAATGCTGATTGGCCAGTAGTTATAGGTGGGTGACCAGAATAGGAGAATTCTGGGAAGAGGAAAGGCAGAGTCTGCAGTCATCCCCCAGACACAGAGGACGCAAGATGAGAATGCCTCACTGATAAAAGGTATCAAGCCACATGGCTGACACAGACAAGAGTTATGGGTTAATGTAAATCATAAGAGTTAATAAGAAGCCTGAGCTAATAGGCCAACCAGTTTATAATTAAAGTAGGCCTCTGTGTGTTTCTTTGGGACTGGAGGGCTGTGGGACTGGACAGGACAGAAATCCTGTGTCTCTTACAGTGTGCACAGCCCTGTGCTGTCACCTTGAGGGGCTCCACAGACTCCATTGCCTATGCTCAGTTCAGGAACCACCACACCCTGCTACTCTGATGTTGAAGCCTTAGGTACAGCAATCAGGGGCTTTCCTGCAGACTCTCCTCTGACCCTCTGTCCATGCACAGACTCTAAAGACAGTCTTACTGTTCCTCAAAACTAAACAAATGGTTCATTCTGAGAGAAACAGAGGAAGTTGGCTATGGAAGTAAGAGTGAGCAGGCCTTCATCTTAACCATCAGCATGTAGTACTACTAAGAAAAATATCGGCCCTGAAGAGGTGGCTCAGAGGTCAAGAATATTTCCGGGTCTTTGCAGAGGGCTTGTTTTTGGTTCCTGACACCCATATTGGGTGGCTTATAACCACTTATAACTCCAGCTCCAGGGGGATCTGATGCCCTCTTCTGGCCTCCATGGGCACCTGCCCACTGTTTCTCCATAACAGCTTGGAGGGCTGGGTACCTCCAAGCCTCATTTAGATAGCAGGAACTTGTAGGGTCCCTGCAACCCTCTCTGCCTCTCTGGCTCGTTGGGTTCATGGTGGTTGGTGTTTGTAATGAGACATGGTGGCCTGAGTTCCTTGACCTGTTCTACTCCATTTCTGACTCAATTATGAGTACACACACATAATTAAAAACAAGGCGGGGGGGGGATATACCTACAACTTGGAAATAAGGCCACAGAGGCACACACTTAACCTCATACATATCAGACAATACCAGTTTTCCTGAAATACAAGCCTACCACCTTGATATATGTCTCTCTGGTCACTGTCCCCTAAGGAAACTGAGACGTCGGGGGCCATGACGACAATGAATGACTCGCCTTCACAGAGGAAACCCTTCAAAGCTTTGGAGTTATGGCCTTAGAAGGTACAGGTCTCTCTTGTGATGCTGAGGACATGGGCTTCCACCTCTGTTCAATATCAGCTTCTGCCTCCTTCCCATGTCTGCTGGAGAGCTAAACAGAATGGCTACAACCAGGGCATTTGCAAGGAGGTATAGCTGCTGCACCTCTGGACAGCAAGTTCTGATCCCACCGAAGAGTGGGCACTTCTTCCCAAACAGCCTGTGATCCGCTATTTCTGGCCTGCAGCACCCGAGAGTCAGAAATGGAGTAGAACAGGTCAAGGAAATCAGGCCACCATGTCTCATTACAAACACCAACCACCATGAACCCAACGAGCCAGAGAGGCAGAGAGGGTTGCAGGGACCCTACAAGTTCCTGCTATCTAAATGAGGCTTGGAGGTACCCAGCCCTCCAAGCTGTTATGGAGAAACAGTGGGCAGTGAACCTGGTTACAAAGAGGAACAAGGATCCAGAGATAAGCGGCCACCTGCCTGGGTCCCCAGAATGGGAGGCAACACCCCGGTGAACTGCCCTGCCTCTGTCATCCTGCCTGGGCTGGGGGAGAGTGGTCCACATGGTCTCCAGAGCCTTGAAGACAGAGCTGAGGCTCCGATGCAGCCAGCCTTTTGTCACTCACCTTTCCTTGAACTCCAGGAAGACCTTGGCCAGGGTACTGCCGCCAGCCATCATGGACACGTCAATGGCCCGCAGAAAGCTGTGGTGCACCTTGATGAGGTCCTGTGGGAAAGCAGGGTCAGTGCACAGCCAGGCACAGCCAGGCACAGCCAGGCACAACCAGGCACAGCCAGGCACAGCCAGGCACAGCCAGGCACAGCCAGCCTCCGCTGGCCACACACACCCACGAGGTGCTGCCCGTGTTCACCCAAGCCTGTGAATGCCGGCGTCACTCAGCTGGAAGTTTCTGGCAGCATGTCTAACTTTTTGACGTTGCTGCCCAGTGCCATCAGCAGATCTGGCACTCAAGAACCAAACGATTTAATTACAAAAAGATAAAACTGCAAGAGAAGTCTCATAATGTTTTAGGTAAACTTAAAGTTTAGTGTTAAGGCTGCATTCAAAGCTGTCCTGGGCCAAAGGTTCTGCCCTTCCCCAAGCCAAAGATTGGATACCCCTTTCCCAGTGCCTGGCACACAAAGATGCTGGAGCACATTCCAGCTGTGCAGTGGAGGGAGCTTCCCAGACCCGAATCGGGTCCTAGGGGCACACAGAAGCTGCCTCAGGCCAGACTCGATGCCAACAGAGGATGGAGAAAGCAGTGTGGCTGCTCTCAGCTAACAACCTTGCAGGCTCCCTGCTGCTGGAAAGAACGGAGAGGCCTGCAGCCACTCAGCTCTTGGTTTCTGCAAACCTGTAAGGCCACTACTGTGTCAGCTTGGCCTGGAGGAAGCGTGGTTCCTCAAGCTTCACAGCGGATACAGGGCAGTGCACAGCACACTAGCCACCCCTCTCTCCTCCCAGCTTCTTTTCTGTCCCAAGTCATTGGTCCTGGCTGGAGCCCAGACAGTAAAAGGGACACTCTGGTCAGTCCCGTGCGGGAGAGTAAGATTCTCCGACCCCCCCCCCCCCACGCAACCCATCCTTGATCTGACGGAAGGCGGTAAGGCAGCATGCTCTGGAGTGCGTCCACTCATGTGTGGCATCTGGAGTTGTAAGCCAGCTGCCTCCACAGGTTAACCTTCGCAGTGTCATCTGGTGCCCATGTGTGGTCAGATGCCCGCAGAGCAGGTGTGGGGCACACTTCCCTCCATGCTAACCAGAAGCCTTGCTTATAGTCTCGTGGGTCTCACATTCCTTCCAGAGCAGTGCGAATCTATGCTCAGCTGACAACTAACACAGATCATGGGAAGCTCTCAGGCCACACCAGATCCCTCTTCTTCTGCCTCCTGAAGCCACAGTCTCCAGAGCGAGACAGCTGCATATGTGTCAGGAAAATGCCAGAGAGCGTACCTCCAGGTTGATGAAGATGGCAGCCATGTCCGCCGGGCTCAGCACTAGCCGTAGGGGGCCCATGTAGTTCTGGAAGGAAGAAGTTTACGCTGTCAAGCAGTGTGTAAGGGGCTTGTCACAATCAAAGCCGAAGCTGCCAGGCACTGGCAGGTGCCAGGTGCTCACTGGACAGCTCATGAAGAGAGAAGTATGGGACTGTACAGTGGGCAAGGCAGCTGGAACCAAGACCACAACCCATGTCCTCAGCACAGCTCCGTGGAAGCCATGGTAAGCGCAGCCTGGGCCAAGGGGCAGTGAACCCCAGGACCCTTGTCTGGAGGCTTCACTTGCCACTCTGGCCACATTGGGCCAGCTCCACACCAGAGAACAGTCAGGAGGATTTGAGCCTAGCAATGGCGCTGTTGTTCACACAGGACACAGAAGTGTCAGGAAGATTCGGAAGCCAGGACTTCTGGGTGATAATGGGGGCTAGGTGGATGTGTATAGGTCACTGGCAGTACTCTGGCTTGGGTAGTAGCATCTAGTCACGAGGCTCACCAGTCACATCAAATGTGCTATATTCTTGGCCACCAACAAAGGCACCAGTACGCCCCACAGGGCAAGGAGAGGCTTAGAGAACTTAGCTCAAGATCTGGCCTCACATGTTCAAAAGGTGAGCTGCCACCACAGCTGGCTTGGATGGGAACTCTGAGAAGACATGCAGGAGAGGTTAGAGGGCTTTCCAAACAACGAGGGGAGGCTCCTCTGTATGAGAACAGGACGGCAAGGCGGAGTGTGCTGTGTCAACGTGACACAGTCCAGAGTCACTTGAGAAGGGAGTTTTAATGGAGGGACAGCCCAGCTCGGATGGTCCAGTGGACCTGTCTGTGGGGGGGGCTGGCTTGCTTACTAATTAATACAGGAGGACCCAGCCCACTGTGAGTAGCACCAGCCTCTGCCCAGGGGGTCCTGGGCTGTGTAAAAAAGCAGCTATGCGCTAGCCTGTGTGGGTCAGCAAACAGCTTTTCTCCACGGTTTCTGCTTGAGTTTCTGCATTGACTTCTGTCAATGGTGTCTGTAATGGCGAAGTTATAACAAACACTCTCCTCTCTCCTAAGTTTCTTTGGTCACAGCAACAGAGAGATAACGAGAACAGGCCCTGAGCCCCTGAGCCCTGGGGCTCCAAGCAAAGCCAAGGCTCACCTTCTCAATGTCCTCCAAGGTGCGGTAGTACTTGGCCTCGGTCTCCTGGATCTCCAGCAAGCAGCAGCTTCTCTTATCATCCTCGGTCATGCCCATTTTCTGGAGGAGACACGAGATGTGAGCCAGGATACCGCTACCTGGACACCCCGGTACCCGCTGCCAGCCATGAGGCCCTGGCTAACTGCACCACACAACAGGATGACACCTTCCCGGTATGGCTACAAGATTACTGAGCAGGCAGTGAGGTCACATCACAGGCCCTTCCCATGATCTGTGGTTGAGGAAACCGAGGCACGTGGATAGGACAGGACTTAATGAGAACATCAAGGAAGGAATGGAAACTTCTAGACTCCTGGGAATCAACTCCTGACTTGGAACCTAGAGTCCTCACCAGACTGGAGGGAAGGCCTCAGGAGAGGAATCTACTACACATAGGTGAGGTGTGCTCATGGTACCTGTATGAATGGGTCTGCCCTGTCCAGCAGGTGGCATTGGCCAACCCCTGGATACCCACAGCTGATCCATTCTGGTTTCCCAATACCAAATGCCCCATAGGCCAGACATCCCTGAGAAGCCAGCTGAAGATAACAGTTCATCAGTGAGCCACCTGGGGACATTCCTCTACAGAGGGGAGAACAGGGCCTGACTGAGAGACGGCGTGCACAGAGTGGAGTAAAGCAGGGATTCGGCCCTAGTCAGGCCGTGGTGGACTTTATAGCAACTTTCTTTGAATTCTCTCAGGGTCGGAGAGCCTGATCTGCCCCAAAATCTCTAAAGACGTGACACTCAGGTAGGTACCCACCCAGGTATACTCTTGTTGGTCCTAAGAGGCCCCTCTATGCTGTGCCACAGAACTAACCCTCGAGCACTGTGCAACACAGGACCTGATGACGTCCAACACTATCTGTGGCTGCATGGGATGGGGCAAGGACAACATCCATGGGGCGGATCTCGACTCGAGACCCTATACAACCCTCTGTGCCTGACAGCGTGTCTCCAAGAACATGGACCTGAGCTTTCTCTATGGCCTCGGTTACCTTCCCGACAGGTGGGAAAGACAGAGCTGGCGGGAGCCCACCTGGCCTGGTCTTACCTGCAACTTACCTGCATATATCTGATCTGAATGCATGGAGGAGCAAACAAGATTGAACCAGTCAGCAATGTCCAGTGTCCTCAAGCATGCTTGGGAAGTCAGGGACACCACTGACAGCCCACCCCCCATTGTTAGCCCCAACAGCCATGTCACAGCCCTTTCCAGAGCCTGCTGAGGAAAGGTCAGGACAAAATATAAGGATGAGAGAGAGAGCCTCCTGGTGGGTCCTCCCATGCCTGGGCTCTGAAAGCAGCACCTGCCTTTATCTTACTTCATAGAAGGAGCATTTTAATTGCCTCCCATTTAGATAGTTTGGTTCAGCTAGTTCCAAACAAAATGAGAAGGTGTTGGGGGGGGGGGGGACGACCCATTGTTTATCTCAGAGGCTCCTCACAGCAATAAATCCAAATCCCATCTGTGGATGGATCGGACAGATCAAAAGATTCAGCATCAGCGTTGGACATTAGAACATGGGCTGTCCTTCAGGACATGGGCAAGCATGACCTTGCTCAGGATTCTTCAGGACCAGGGACAGTGACAGGCACCTCGAAGAGCAGCAGGAGTCTCAAGACAGCCTGAGAGATGGGCATGGGGACCTTTCAACTATGCCCCAGGCTCCTGTGCCTGGGTGCTGACATTTACCCTCAGGGCACCCATCTTGCAGGGACTCTGAAGAGATGAGGCCTTAATCAACCTGGGGGTGCTTCCTAGGCCATGTCAGGTCAGCTCTGGGGAAGCCCCAGTCAGGCTGCCTGCCAGGTTGAAGAGCAGAGCCTCTCCCACCTCCTCTGGAGCAGGAGCCCTGAGCATGCTGGGAAGGAGAGTGATTATTAGACTCTCGGGAACAAATGTGTATGATCTTCTTAAGGGTGGCGCGAGACGCTGCAAATGTCCCAAGTCTAGCCTTCCATCTCTCCTCCCAAGCTGGGGACACAGCAGGGTGCCATCAGCCTGGGAAAGGCTCTCAAGGCTCTTCAGGGTTCTTCTCTCAGCTTTTTGTTTCTCTGACACCAGCTGGAGGCTCCCACACAGACGGGAGACAGAAATATTGGCTTTTGATAAATTTCCCACTTCTTCGGGAACGCAAACGTGTCAAAAGCCTCCGCGGTTGACAAGTGGCGCGGTGCCCACCTTTGGAGCGTTCAGGGGGCCATGGGAGCTGTGGCCTGCCCCTCCAGAGCCCCCTCTCTGCAGCTCTCCAGGATGGACCCCCCACCTCCCACACAGCAGCTGTTGGCAATACGCCGGAGCTGGCACAAAACATCGTCTGCAAGATCATTAGCCAAGCTGCGTGGAAATAAATACCCTTCAGCATAAAAGGCATGCAGCTGGCCGACGGCGCCCGCACCGGTCTCCCCATTCTCCGCACAAAGAGGTACAATGATATGTGTGCTCAGCCACACTGTGGTAGCCCGAACACGGAGTTACTATTTAAGGCTCTCTGGATAGGAAGGACTAAGAACCTTCCAGGGAAAATTTTGTAATCACTCTGCTGGAGGGGCTCAACCATCACAGGTCGCATCTAGGGCACCTCAGAGTGTCCCGACAGGGCTGGAAGGATACTGCAAGGGAGCCCAGCAGAGTCGGGAAGCACTTGGGTCTATACTCAGGCAACTCCCCAAGGGAGGCTCAGGTTCCTTTAGCAAAGGCAGGGTGGGGGCGCTCACCATGGGCTGCTGCACCTCCACCTTGATGATGTCTTCATAGATGTCATCCCCTTCATCTTCACACGGGACACAGTCGTAAATGTCCTCACCCAGGTCATGTTCGCTGCACAGGGAGATGTAGGTGAGCAAGGAAGAAAGGTCCAGGCACCTGGACTGGGCGGGGGGGGGGGGGCTGCAAAGCATTTCCATGGCACCTGGCAAAGTCACCCACGTCAGCCCACAAAGTGGCGTGCCTCAGTGAGCTATAATCGGACTGGGCAGAGGCTGCCACAAGGACCTGCTTGTCTTCAAACACTCTTTCTTCCCCAGCGATGCTCCAACTCTGGGGCAAATGCTGGAGACACACCAGCCAGAGGCCCTGGTGTGAGACACCTTTCTCCACTGGGATCCTCTTTGGTTGGTCAGCAGAAATGTCCAGCTCATACCCCAAAACAGAGCTTCCATCTTAGCCTGTGCCCAGGATCCCCAAATGCTCTGAGAAACTAGCCCAAGGTCTCCACCATCATTGTGGCCCCATCATGACGATCAAGAGTACAGGACCCACATACAGCCGCTTCTCACATATTGTGGACACCAAGCAGGATGGAGGAATAGAGGAAGACATGGAATACGTGGTGTACCTTCTCAAGCCAGAACCCAGGAAAGCAAAGACCAACTTAAAACTCTGGGAAGTTTTGATTCTGCTCACAACTCCTTGGCTTTCTCCAAGCTACTCATGACAAGTGATTAACACTGACTGCCAACCTGATGGGTGTCGATAATCATGGTTGTGTTTTGCATGAGAATAGCTCCAACAGACTTATTTGAATGTTTGGTCCCTAGGTGGTAGTGCTGATTTGGAGAGGATTAGAGGGTGTGGCCTTACTGGAGGAGGTGTGTCATCACTGGAGGTAGACTTTGAGGTTTCAAGGGCCCCTACTAAGCCCAGTCAGTCTTTCAGTCTCTCTCCCTCTCTCTCCACCTCCAACTTGTGCAAACACTCAGCTACTATTGCAGCACCATGCTGTCTGACCAGCTGCCATGTCCTCCACTATGAGAGACATGGACTCACCCTCTGAAACTGTAAGCAAGCCCCCAATTAAACACTTTCTTTTATAAGCCATGGTGTCTCCTCACAGCAACAGAAAACTAAGACCATCGCCTAGGAGACAGCTCTGAGCGTGACTGAGGGAAATCTCCAGACTGGCTCAGCTGAGGTGGGAAGACCAGCCTCAACTGTAGGAAGCATTGTTCAATGGGGTGTGATCTCATTGAATGGTGTACTGAATAAAAAGGAGAAAGCAAGTTGAGCACCAGCATCCACCCTCCTCTCTCTGCTCCCTGACTGTGGGTGCAGTGTTTACATCCTAAACCCCAGCAGGAAGCAGAGAGAGTGCATGAAAATGGCTTTCATGTCTAACGGCTTGGAGAGTTTAAGGAAAAGTCTTTAAACTCCCAAAGCCGGCTTCCAGCGACACCCCTCCCAAACACTGCCAGCAACTGGGAACCAAGTATGTAAGTGCCCAAGACTGGGGGACATGTATAATTTAAACCACCACAGTTTCCTTCTGCAAGAGGGCTCTGCGGCCTCTGCATGTGTATCTAGGGGTTCCCAGGCACCCCCAGACCTAGTGCAGTTCCCAGACCGCCTTTCCATCTGTCTTGTAGTTGATGATAAGACATCTGCCCCACACTCCGGCCATCTCATCCTTCACTTTGACCCTCCCTAACCCATGCAGCAGGTTCTACTCAGTCAGGCTACCTGCCATCCCAGGTCCACTGGCTCGGGGAGGTAACTGTGTTCTGGGGTTCAGAAATGCAGACAGCGAGCCCCGACCTGAGTAGCAGTGAGATCCCACAGACTGAGGCAAAGGTTCAGGAAGGGTGGCGCTTTGGGTATCCCACATTCTGTCCCAACTCACACATGCCGGTCAGAGGACAAGGCTAACAAAGAACAAGTCATACCACAACAGTTCCATGGAGAAGTGCCTCTGACCTTAGAGCCTTCTGAATACCCACAACAGCACCATTTTTTTTTTTTATTGTTCTTTGGTTTTTTTTCAAGACAGTCTCAACTCTGTAGCCCATGCTGGCTTAGAACTCACCATGGAGCCCAGGCTAGCCTCAAACTCATGACAATCCTCCTGCCTCACTAGCCTGCTGAGTGCTATGTGGACAGGGATGTGCCACCATGCTCTGCTGAAGTTCTTCTTTTAATTATTATTGTGTATGTGACCACGTGGTGGGGAGATGTGTGTGCCACAGTGTGTGTGGTCACATGAGATCCTTCGTGGACTCCATTCTCTCTCTACACCTTTATTTGAACTCCAGAGACCTAACTGAAGTGCCAGGCTTGCATCTCACTGACCCATCAATTTAAGTTTTAAAAAGCCACTTGTTCTTTTCAGGCCCAGAAAATCCTTAGTAGAGGTGGCCATTTTGCACATTAAATAATACACCTGTGCTCTGTGCTTGCATGCAAACATGTGCTCGCACACATGCATACACACACACACACACACACACACACACACACCACACTGTGGCCTTAGCCCCGACTCTTCCTGACTCTTCTCCCTGCCTGTAGGGGGGCATCATGAAATGGGGTGCAGACCTGGGTTGCACATCACCTCCTGCCATGCAGGGCTCACACTTAGAGTTCCGACTCACCTCAGAACGTCTGTGGTCTTTCCTGCTGACCCATCAGTGGGTCCATCTGTCTGTCTTTTGGAAACTGTCACCAGAGATAACATGAATCATTTCCCCTGCCTCTCCGGGCTCTGAGCCAGATTTTGGCCCTGCCACTCTACCCTCCAGATTCCTGGGCCAGGTGAAGGTTTCGGGGTACTTTCTGGCAGATATTAGTCAGCCAGACTTCTGTTATGCAGCAGAGCGAGGCTGGAGGCTGAAATGCTGTCTACAGTTCCGACCACGTGGAACTGAGGGAAACAGATGCTCCAGGCTTCAGGAGCACACGGCTCCTGGCAGATGAGACACCTCCCTATCTAGAGACAGACACAGGCTTCGCTCCAACGGGCTAGGGGAAGGAAGTGATGGACAGGGAGTTTGGATGGTGACATATTCCACAAGGCAGTGAAAGGGGTCAAATGGGTGGAAGTTGAGCCTGAACAGGGACTTGCAAGCTGGCAATCAGCTAGCACTGGAGCCCCCACTTTTTCCTCACCTTACCTTGTGAAGATATCCAAGACAATTCCAGATCACGCAGCTGGGTTCCTTCCCATTAAGGACCTACCTTATCTACCTGACCTGCCTTACCTGCACAGACCCTACCTCAGGCTGATTGGAACCCGTTCTTCAGGTATGATTCTTTGCTGTTCTCAGGGTCTGGCTCTAACTTTCACTTGAAGATGAGATGGCTGGAAGGGTCATGGCTCTACTGTGATCTCTAGGGCCCTGCTCTGATTCACAGTGAACAGTACATTCATGTTCCACACACTCTACGGAACTCAGCTCGGAAGCCTTGGCCAGATGTGCATACAAAGGAGCAAACGCATATGCTAAACTTGAGTAGGAGGGGTCAGCCCCACGGTCATCCAACAAGGCAGTGGGTGTGTGAGGAGGTCCCACTGTGGTTTCCCATGAGCTTGTGGGTTCTAGCCAAGGTGGCTCCTCGCTAGATCAGCTCTCAGCACTCTTCCCCTCAGCTGACTCCATACCCGCTACAAACACCTGCACCGGCCTCACGTGTGATGCCAGACGGTGAATTTTCAGTATCTTTGGTAAGGTTCATAAAACCAGAAATGCATCTTGGCCGACACACTCTGACAAAAGGAACTGTCCAACACTCAGTCCAAAGCATTCCAAACCTTACCAATGAAAATCATGAGAACAATGGATACCCTCTCCACTTCTCCTCTCAGCCTCCCTCCTGGCTGATCCTCAATGGACCACCTTCCCTGCTGAGAAGTCGGCAGCATAGACAGCTCTTCCCTTTGGCATCTTGTTTCTTCTTTTTATTTATTTATTATTTATTTTTTCTTTTGGTTCTGTTCTGGAATTTGCTCTATAGACCAGGCTAGCCTAGAACTCACAGAGATCCACCTGTTACTGCCTTCCAAGCACTGGGATTAAAGGCATGCGCCACCACCGCCCAGCAGCAACTCTTGTCTCATCCTCTGCATCTCATCTCTGAGCCCAGGAGGATTGGCAGCTGGTCCTTTGCAAAGCTGAGCAGTAAGTTGTGATCCGATCTCCTTTTTTATGGACACTGGGCCACTTAGTGGTACAACCAAGTACGGTGGCATGCTCCTGTAATGCTAACCCTGGGGAGGCAGGGAGAAGTGGATCCTTAGGGCTTCCTGGCCGGCCAGCCAGCCTCCTTGGTGAACTCGGAATACAAGAAGGGGAGCTGAAAAGAAGGGCTCAGAGATTAGGATCCCATATTGCCCTTGCAGAGAACCAGTTTTTGTTCCCAACACCTACATCAAGTGGCTCACGACCGCCTGGAACCCTAGCTACAGGGGCTCCAATGCTTTCTTCTGAACTCTCTGGAAATCTTTCTCACAGATGTAGATACTACCACCTGACACATACATAAAAATAAATAAGGCTGGAGAGACAGCTCAGAGATTAAGAGTACTGACTGCATTTGTACAGGGCCTGGGTTCAGTGATTAAGAGTACTGAATGCATTTGTACAGGGCCCGGGTTCAGCTCCCAGCATCTACATGGCAGCTCACAACTACCTGTAACCCCAGGCCTTCTTCTGGCCTCCATGGACCCTGCACATATGTAGTGCACATATATGTGTGCAGGTGAAACACCCTTACACATAAACTCGCACAACTCAGGTCATCTACGAGAGTAGCAAGTGCTCTTAACTTCTGAGCCATCTCTCTAGCCCCCTGCTAAGCATTCATTCTTAACTGAACAAAGTCTAATTTATCAGGTTTTTCTTTTCTTCTGTGCCATCCCAATTCTATTCATGGTCCTACATAAAAAAAAAAAAAATCCTATTATCTTACCTAAGAAACTTTGGCTTTCCTCTAAGCCACAGAGGATTACCCGGTATCTTCTAAGACCGGTAAAGCTCCAGTGCTTCTGTTCAGGAGTCAGACCCATTCGGATTGGTTCTGTGTATATCATCCCCACGGGAATGCCCACG